GAAGAGCCATCCTGCTGATTATGCTCCACCCTATGCTGTGTTATCTTCAGTGCGGGAGCAGTCATTGGTATTCTCCTTGGGCGTGAACACCTTCGTTGGGGGTTACTACTACTCCGTATCAGGTACATCCCTCTCCTACCTTTTGGTTTCAGATTTGGTTCGGTTTAGGTTCAAGATTGATCCTTGAAAATGCAGTTTTCTAAAATAAGGAATGTGATTCCCACATGGGAAAGAAACTTTTTGAAATTTCGCCCAACCTACCTACAGGGTTCGGCCATCCATTTGATGGATCTCTCATCCCTTTACCAACTACACCACTTCTTTTGCACATACAGGTAGTTCATATGCAACTACAAATCTTGCATCCACTTCAAGTAAGAAGGGATCTTCCTGGATTATAGACTCAGGAGCATCTGAGCACATGACTAATGCCCCTACCCTTTTCAGTTCCTATCAATTGTACTCTAGTAGAGACAGAGTCTCTACAGCAGATGGTTCACATGTTCCCATTACTGGGAAGGGGACAGTTAGAGTGACCAATGATATAACTTTATCTTCTGTTTTACATATCCCTAGACTTCATACCAACCTAATTTCTGTAAGTTCTTTAACAAAAGATTTGAATTGTTATGTGACATTTCTTCCTGGTAATTGTGTTTTGCAGGATCTGGAGTCAAAGAAGAGGATTGTGAGTGGTCGTGAGGTGAATGGAGTCTACCTTCTAGATGAGATTCCGAGACATCTTTCTTTTAGTTCTTTGAACCAGATTATGCTTTGGCACAATCGCTTGGGACATCTTTCTTTTAGTTCTTTGAAATTTCTTTTCCCAAAGTTGTTGAGTCTGTTCAGTTATCTACCTTGGAGTGTGAGAGTTGTCAATTAGGAAAGTATTGTAGACAGTCTTTTAAACCAAGTAATAAAAGAAGTACTTTTGCTTTTAATATTGTTCACACTGATGTATGGGGGCCATATCATATCCCTTCCATGGGAGGATACCGTTACTTTCTCTTGTTTGTGGATGATTATACACGATATTCTTGGATATATTTGATGAGATCACGAGATGAGGTTCCTAACTTGATATGACAGTTCCATCATATGGTTCTCACACAATTTGGAGTGAGAACTAAGGTTTTTAGATAAGATAATGCCAGAGAGTACTTTGAGAAGGACCTGACCACGTATTTCTTAGAACATGGTGTAATTCATCAGAGCAGTTGTGCATATACACCGCAACAGAATGGAGTTGCTGAGAGGAAAAATAAACACATTGTGGAGGTGGCAAGGAGTGTTATGGTGTGTACTTCAGTTCTTGTACAGTTCTTACAGTCGTGCATTTGATTAACCGTGCTCCTTCACGGACTTTGGGGTTTAAGGTGCCATTTAGTCTTCTTTTTCCAGATGGGGAGATATTTCATACCTCTGAGGGTTTTTGGTTGTGTTTCGTTTGTTCACATTCTTGGCCCTCATTGCAAGAAGTTGGATCCTAAGGCCAAGAAATGTGTTTTTCTTGGGTATGCTCAGAACCAAAAGGGATATTGGTGTTATGACCCAGTGTCAAGGAGCAGATTTGTCACTATGCATGTTACCTTCTTTGAATCCACCTTCTTCTTCTCGAGTGGTTCTCCCCAGGGGAGGAGTTTTGGGGAGGAGAACTCACAATCTGTTTCTCTTCCTGTTTCTTTGGTGCCTCCATCAGTTCAGCCAGCACCTGCATCAATTCAGCCAACACCTGCACCTCTAGTTTCATTACCTGAGCCACTACGAGCAGCCTCACAGAAATATTAGTGTCGGCAGATGATGGTTGACTCCACACATCCTCAACCCACACCACTCTCTATCAGTCCTTCTGAAACTTCAGATTCGGTAGATACAGTTCCAGGTATTCCTGTTGAGACTGAGCCTGTTATGTTTTCTGATGATAATGTTCCTGTCCCTAACACCATTGTTGCAGCTGATCCCACTGACCTTGATCTTCCCATTGCACTTCGTAAGGGGAAGAGAAAGTGTACAACCCATTGCATTTCACACCATCTTTCCTACAGTGCCTTATCACCCTCATACTATGCTTTTTTTTCTTCCCTGGATTGTGTGTCTATACCCAAGAATGTTATTGAGGCTCTCTCCAAATCTGAGTGGAAAACAGCCATGCAAGATGAGATGGATGCTTTGATTAAAAACCAAACTTGGGAAATAGTTGATCTCCCCCCAGACAAGGAAACAGTCAGATGTAGATGGGTATTCACAGTGAAGTATAGGGCCGATGGCAAGATAGAGAGGTACAAGGCAAAGTTGGTAGCAAAAGGGTATACTCAGACCTATGGTGTTGATTATCTGGAAACCTTTGCACCAGTAGCTAAGACAAGGAAACAACCACCTATCTCTAGCATCCTTTTATCTCAAGACAGTACACAAGTTTATCTTCTCAAAAAAAAAACACAGTATACATCTTAATTGAACCCTAACAAATAAGAAAAATAATAAAAAGAAACTAGTATTTTAACTCAAACTGAATAATTTAGTTTAATGATGTTGTTATATTGTTATAACTTCAAAAAGTTAAGAACATAAGAATATCCAACAACACCATGTAAAAAATATCTTGGAAATTAAGTGAGATGACCCCTCATGAGTGCCTTATCACTTGGCATCACTCTACATGTTAAGCTACCTTGGTATTACCTGATTGTCATACTTAGGTAGTATATCCTAGAGGTAGTCTCTATTTTATATGATAGTGGGTTGTTCTTGTATCATTTGGTGTAGCAATAGTAGACATGCCTTCATTAGTTATTTGGATTTTCATTTGATTGATAGCAGTTATGTTTGTGTTTTATTGGATGGTTGCAAGAAATTGTTGTGACCATGTGAACTCACCTAGGCATGCAGTCATTGGGTGTTTGTGTTTCATTTGATTTGATTTATCCTTTGACTATGTGAACTCATCAGTATAAGGTAGTGGACCCTGAGAGGTGTCCTGGAAAAAATTGCATAAAAAATGTTTCATCTGCAAATGCTTCCATACCACAAATGAGAAGAAGTGGAGATAAGGGATCACCTTGCCTTCCCCCTTGAACTCTTGAACAAGCCAATTGGAATGCCATTTAAAAGGCTGGAAAGTTTGTGCCTTATGGCTTATAGGTTTTAAGCTTTTTTTTTTTTCTTTTCCCTCATTTTGATTATTTTCTTGTTTTCTTTCCTTTATGTTAAAATACATGTTTCTCTTTCATTTTTTTTGGATAATCAATGCCACCCAATTCTGAAGTACTAATTTGCTTGTTGTGAAGGGTTCCATCCCAATGAAACTTGTTCCTCCATATGGGGTATTCAATCTGAATGTTATCTACTGACATACTGTTAGAAAGATAACTCAACCTCAATATATACTACAAACTCTAATATGTGCTCTTTTGGCTTATTTGTTTATTATCTTTTTTAATAAATGATGTATATGTATTGTAATGTATTGCCCATAAAAAAAAGAAAGGAAGGAGCAACCAAAAGGCTAAATGTAATTGTTGAAGGATGATTGCACCAATATGATTGTCAATTTGGTGCGTCTAGACAATTAATGTATTTAGGAATTCATTGCCTTCTTGTCTCTTCACTAGAATTACCTTTATGGGTGGGTTGGGGAAGGGGGTGAGCCATGGGTTTAAGAGGGGGGATGAGGTCATTGAGGATTTTATTGGATTATCAAACCCCAAAAAAAAATCCTTTTTCATATAGCCCTATATATATACCCACCTATGATACCCAGATACCTATACATGCCTAGTGTACCAATATCATATCCAATGCTTAATGGCTATGAAATAAGATATCATATAGATACTTCTAGATGTAACTCTTTAGCATTAACACTTTTAAAATATGTAAAGTGGTATGTATAACAAATTATACCATAAAAATATCTGTACATGTTAGAAGTTTAATTAAATTTAGCAAGACATAAAGTCTTGTGAAATGACATTTAGTCTAAAAAATTAGATATAAATGCATGATATAAGCATTACATGAGGTACCTATACCTGTAGTCTGTATTCCTTGTCCAGGATTTTAGAAAATGGAGTCATATCCCCGTTTCCTGGAGTCCGGCTTCAGTCAGGGTAAAGCCCGTTCCAACAGGCTTTACAGCCTTACGTTGGGAATATCTCTGTACTTATGTGATTTATTTCACGGGAGATATTCCCAATGCAAGGTTGCAAGGGGCTGCTCGAACGGTGTGAGCACCAACTTGCCCTGACAGAAGCCGAACTCCATTTCCTGTATCTGTATCTGTGTCCATATCAATATGGACCATATCTGGACATCATAGATACGTATTCATCTAAACCTTTTGTTTAGTTTAATACATATCATACACAGATACTCATTCGTGCTCAACTCAGCCTTAATCCCAATTATTTGAGGTTGGCTAAAGTCTTTCTCAAAAGAGGATATATGCTTMTGTACAAACATGCATTTTCTTTTTTTACATGATTTCTCAAATTCACAATCTCATCACCCTACCCTGTTGTTTGGGCAACTATGGGAAGAAGAATTATGTGGCTTCCAGATTGTAACCTATAGGGTGTGAACTTATTCACAGTTCCTGCCTTTTAATAAAAGGGCAGCTGGCAGCCCAGTGTGTGAGACTCCCGCCAAGGTGGGGTCTGGGGAAGGATAGATTGCGCAGACTTACACCTGCACATACAGAGAAGTTATTTCCAATATTTGAACCCTGGTTATCCAGGTCGCAATGGAACAACCCAACTGTTGCACCAGGGCCCACCCTCATTTCCTGCCTTTTAATACCACCCCAAAATACTGTCAACGAAATTTATTTAGACAGTTTATCAACAAGATACCCAGACTCTGAAACTATATTTTTCAAAACTAAATGTGGATCTGCACCAGCAGTTTTAGATGGATTAATTGAGTTTTAGCCACAGAAGTAAAACTTAAACTTCCTGCCTATATGGCGTGTTTTGTAATTTTTGACTGGTTGTATAATATAGATCTGTATATGGTAAGAAAACTATGGAGTTACCAGAAAGGACAAATGAGATGGCAGGAGTATATGCAATGCAGTGTGTTGAGCTAGCAAAGGAACTTGGTCTTCCCTCCATCAACTTATGGTCCAAGATGCAGGAGACAGAGGGGTGGCAGAAAAAATTTCTGAGGTTTGTGAGATAGAAAGCTTTTCCACTCTCATGTATGGTATTAGGGTTCTAATTTTCAGAAATAATTTACTTGGCTATATAGTTGGTATTTTTATTTGTTTATTACGAAGAAACTACCTAGTTATTGATCTGCTGTTTATTTGTTCTTAATCAGTGATGGGTTACATCTGACTGGAAAAGGCAATGCTGTTGTGCACCAAGAAGTGGTTAAAGTGTTCAATGATGCTTGGCTCTGTGCTTCAGAAATGCCATATGATTTCCCTCACCATTCTGCAATTGACTGGAGGGACCCTGGAAAGGCTTTCCAACAGCAATGTTCATAATACCATGGTTGTATTTTCTTTACCATGGTCATTTAGAAGTGATTCTGGTGATTGTGCTCTTAAGTTGTCATCTTTGGATTCTAGAGCATACATTATAGAAGGTTTTTTAGATATGAACATATGCTTCCATTCAGAATAAGTTTGGATGAGTTCAAAATACTGAAATACCCTGTAATTGCTCAGACTTTAGTAAAATGGCTCAAAATTACTGGTGAGAGAATGTAGTTGATGATAGACTTTGAAGGCTCTAATATAATGCATATATATTATTACAGTTTTTTAGGTTATAGTGGAATAGTTAGCTAAATTTGGTGATAAGTTGATAATAAAAAAAATTAATCAAGATGTCAACCCAAAGTAGCTTATTTCTTCCACCAAATTTTGAATGCTAGAATTATGAATTCAACGTTCAACCAACCGAGGGCTGTCTCGTTGGTGTATCAGCTGGTTTGTTTCAGTGTGGACGTGAAATCGAATCCCACAACCAGCACTTTGTGCAAAAAGGGGATTAAGGGAAAGCTATTAATACCCAAAAAAAACTATGAATTCCAAGTGGCTCCAATTTTTTGCTTTCTAAATTAAATTTCTACTCCGCAAGACTACTGATGGCATGAGTTCTAAAAAAGTATACAATAATAATATGGTTTTAAAAAGGCAAAGAGGTGAGGCGGTGAGGTAAGGTGTATGAGCCAAACCGCCTTCCATGTGGCAGAAGAGGCTTGTGCCTCAGTTTTTGCGAGGTGTACGCCTCATATGAGAAACACTACATTTAAAAAAAAAAGTAAGAATTGAAAATAAAAAAGTTTTCCAGTTTTGGTTGGCTATAAATAAAACAAAGCAATTACACTTTAAAATCAATTATTATATGCTTAAGGTTCAAAGTATCTATATGTATTAATGCTTTTTTTTTTTTGTGTTTTTCAAATTTGATTTAGGGGAATGGTTTAAGACCCAGATACTCTCTGAACCATGATTTGACTTGAAACACCCTCTATAGGGGTGTACCAGAAAGGCCACGATATGATACATAACAATATTTTGAATTTTGGATATACCCTTTATTCCAAATATATATATATATATAATTATCTATCGTTTGCTAAATATATTAATCCTAATATGCCAATTTGTGCCTTAATGTACCAACCAATGTATAAACCAAAAAAGAAAAAGATAATTATGATCATTCTCTAAGTTCGAAAAAAACAAACAAAAAAAAAATGTATCTAATTTGAAATTTTGAACAACTTCCAAATCACTCCTTTCAAGATGTGTAACATGTATTTAAGGTTTCAAGCGGGGTTTATTTTATTTGATAATAAAAAAGAAGGAAAAATCTATGATATCCAAAAGATACAGTATGGAAGGAGTTTTGACCAATTAAAACTTAAACACCTTATTCACTAGCATTATTGTTAAGTTATTTCTCGGATATTATACTGGACACGTGTCGCAGAACGAATGAACTCGCACTGGATCACTCAGTAAAAGTATTTATTTACCTTTCATCTCATTTACACGTGTCGTAATCAAGGGTGTTTCTGTCTATTCCTCCTCTACTGCAGTGGAGCAGGTACACATGTAAACTTACTATTAGTTAAAAAAAGGTAGAAATGAAATCGAAATCTAATAAGTAATAAATATTAGATACTACTCGCCGGCAGGGAGTCGGACTGTATAGCAGTAGAAATGTAGAAATTCCTCTCTGTCTGATTCTGATATCGTAAAAAGCATAAAACCATAAAGCATAAATAGGCCACCAATAAAGACTTTTCGTCCATTTGACGCTTCTTTTTCGGAAGCGCCCGCTCTACTCGTGAGGAAAGAGAGAGAGAGAGAGAGAGAGAGAGAGAGAGAGAGAGAGAGAAGACGAACGAGGGACCGAGAGGAGAAGAAGAATAAGAGCCCAGGATTTCCCGCCGTTTCTCCCTCCCCATCTCCTACGCCTTTCCAACTGCGACGAGAGGTACTCCTTTTCTCTCCTAATTCGGTGTCTAGGGTTTCTCGATTTGTTTCTCTGATTCCGAATTATTATTTTTTCCCTCTTCAAAAGAAACCCTAGTTGCAGTCGAAAATATTTGTTTTAAGAGGATTTGGTCTCTCTAGTTCAACTATATTTTTTTTCGCCTGTTTTGTTTTCATTTCGGTTGTATACGATCTGGCTTCACTAAGGCGTTGGAATTTTCTGATTCTATCTTCGAAACTCTACATGCATGAACTTTTGCGGATAATTTAGGGTTTCTATTTTGCATCCTGTAATTCATGTAGACGCTGTTTCTACCAACTTTTCGGATCTGGATTCCATGAAATTAGTCTATGGTAGTTGTGTTTATGTGATCTAAGGTTCATGATTGGTCGATTTCGTGGTGGGGGGGATATATTTTCGTTGCCGGAGCCTTTCTCTTTCAACATTCTTACAGTTTGGCATCTAGGTCCTGCGAATGTTTACATAGGTGGAGCTTTCAGCAATAACCCGATTCTGATTATATTTGGATGACGCTTCTTTTTCCTGGTTGGTTGTCATTGCCATCCTTATTTCGTTTTTGTGATACGTTTTTTTTTTTTTTTCTTTTTGTTTCGGTTAATTGTAGGGTTTCATCCTTGGTTTGCGTGGGGGTCTTGGTGATCGGTGCTGGGAGTTTCGGCTGTGGATAAGGGTCCTATTGGAAGGTTTCGATTTCATCTAGGATTATACTTTTATCGGGAAGGTTCTTGCTGGTCTTATTGTGTTCATAACTGTCTGTTGGGATTCAGAATTTTATTGCCTGTTGATCCACGTATACTCCACGAAATCGACTCTGGACCCTGTCCAGTTGAGAGGCTTAATTTTTGGTCTAGCATTTTTACGTGTGATCTTCTGTTTGCTTCGTTGGATATGGCTGCAACTGCATCTGCTTCCAGTGGTCCACGTTATGCACCCGAGGATCCCACACTACCCAAACCATGGAAAGGTTTGGTCGATGGGAGTACAGGATATCTTTACTTTTGGAATCCAGAGACCAATGTTACTCAGTATGAGAGGCCTGTTGCCTCCTCGCCCATGCCACAGAAACCTTCTTCTCTGCCTATAAGTTCATCTGTTCAAATTCAACCATCCTTTCAAGGACAACATCATAATGGTGGCAGTAAAGAAGATGGCCGTTATAATGGGAGCACCAATTCTGCAAGTTCTGGAGCAAAGAATTACCAGGTATTTTCTCTCCTAATATGCAACAATATTCAAGATAATCTGTCATATGGATAAATAGTTAAAAGAAGAGTACAGATGAAATTGTTCATTTCATCCTTTTAGGTGTAGGTTTTTACTATCTTTCATGACTTGCTTCTCCAGATGCAGATGGAACGTGTTGAGCCCCTGATTTGTAGTCGATGGATTTAGAGTTAGGTCTTTTTCTGGGGGGGATTATGGTGCTAAGGGGCCATTTGATAACAAATAAAGTGGCTAAACTGAACTGAATGACCTATTACTTTGTCTTTTAGTAGATAAAATAAATAAATACCTAAGATATTTGAGAATTTAGTATTCAACCCAACTTCAGCTTCAGCCATTAAGGAGCTCAAAATCTCCTTAATAGCTTATTCAATAAAAGACAGCAATAAGCCATTCTGGTCAGTCACTTCAGTGGTTATCAAATGGAAGTCTGCACTTGGCATCAGTTGATATAATTCTACTATTATACTATGTTTCTATTGTCTAGTATATACTGTTTCACATGATACAAAGTTTAAATTGTTGGAACTGCACCTATGTTTATTTGTTACAATTATACTTAGCAGTGGTGTTAAAGATATGGCAAAGGATTTTCAGCCCCTGACGTTGGGCTGTATGGATATTTTATTTTCTAACTTGATACAATATGCTTTGGTTTTTTATTGGTGTGTGTTATTGGATAGCATGATTGTCCCACTTATTTATTATTATTTTCATGTCAGAGTGCAAGAGGTGGGAGTTCTCATTCCCATAATATCTCTAATGGGTCTGGTACATACAACCATGGGCATGGACAACCTTCAAGGCCGTCTACCAGAGGACATGGATCTTCAGACATGGGAAGTGGTTTATCTGCAGAGTCCTATCGCCATCAACATGAAATAACTGTTTCCGTAAGTATCTAAATAGCAGCTTTATGATTTTTCTATTTGGTTATCTCCTTAACAGTTTTGTAGATGCCTCAAAACCCATAAACCTTGATATTGCAGCTGACTGTTTTTCATTTTATCTGCTTTACTGAGTCTAGTTGGTACCTGAAGGTACCTTTCTTGAGTTTCTTGCATGTTTTAATTGATTTTTCCCAATGGGGTTTCATTGGATTTATCATCTTTTGGTCCCAAGAAGGTGATTTTTTTAACATGATTCCAAGTACTTATCTTGTTTGGCCTACTCATGCTTTGGTTGAAAATAAAACCCATAGGTAGATTTTTAATATTTGAAGCAGACAATAAGCATAAACTCTTAGCATTTAAGTTTTCTTGTCATTGATATTTTTTCGGAAGTGGAAATTTTGGGGTTTGATGGTTGATGCACACTCTACCAGATTACCATTGTGTTGATGATCATTAAAATCATTTTATTAGTTGGATCTTTGTTGTACTGTCTAATCTCATCTTCACTTTCCAGTCAWCCACTTCTCATGCTGAGCTTAATGGGTCTGGTATATACCTGTGGGCATGGACAACCTTCAAGGTTGTCTACCAGAGGACATGGGTCTTTAGACATGGGAAATGGTTTATCTGTGGAGTCTAATTGCTGTCAACAGTGGGTTAATTTTATTATGTTGGTTAACGGTTTGATTTTGTTTTCTTTATTTATGTAAAACCTTCTCAGGGAGATGATATACCTACACCCTTCACAACATTCGAATCTACTGGTTTTCCCTCAGAGATTCTTAGAGAGGTATTATTTATGCTTCCTCTTAGTCTTTACATATGTATGCACAGCTATGATGCAAGTTTTTGTAAGTTTTCTCAGTTCTGTACCTGAACAGTTTTTAATATACAATTTTTTATAATCGCTGGAGGTCCATTGTTGAACTTCAGTCTCATGTGCATTTTTCCATCTGTACTTTGTTTTGTCGCAGGTGCGATATTTGCTCCAGGGAGGAGCTAATGTCGTACGCTGTGCCGCCCTCCTTGTGGCGGGCTTGCATATAGTTGGAGCGCCCCTATGCGGTGGACCAATTTTTGAGAAGGGCTTTCAAAATCACTCAGTTCGTGGCCGGGCTGCCGCCGGTGATGGTTCAGTCTGCCACTCGGTCCAAACAGAAGGCCTTTTTCTCCTGCTCCAGCTTGCATCCGCAAGCAGCGGCCGTCTGCGCATGGAGGACAACGCTTCTTGTAGCGTTTCCAAGTCCTATGGTTAAATCCAAACAAGAAAAACAAACAGAAAGATAAACTTGAGCCGGTACCTCTCCTCATGGGGGTCGCTGGTTGTTTCCTTTTCCAGGTACATCATGCAGGGTTCTCTGCTCCGACACCAATCCAAGCTCAGACATGGCCAATTGCTCTACAAGGTCGTGATATTGTGGCCATTGCAAAGACAGGGTCGGGGAAGACCTTGGGTTACCTAATGCCGGGGTTTGTTCATCTGAAACGTTGCCGTAATAATTCACAAATGGGTCCAACTGTACTGGTACTTGCTCCAACAAGGGAATTGGCAACCCAAATACAAGATGAAGCTGTGAAGTTTGGCAGATCATCAAGGATTTCTTGCACGGTCTGTTACTTGTGGCTCCACATTTCTTTCATCCATTGCAGGCATATGTTGTTTTTTTTGGTGCTACATAATTTTTTTTCAGAGATGACTAGCTTTTTGATGGTCTTAATACTGATTTTGTTTTGTTTTGGAATTGCATGAAACTGATTCTTGAGCATCAATTCAAATAACCTCCCGTATGTTGCGTTTATTATTTCAACCTCTGCAATTATTGGGACAGGCCAACACAATGGATAAATGGTTTATGGTTGTTTAGATATCAACCTCTGCATTTATCTCCTTGCATTTCAATGATTTTCTTATTAGCTATAAAAAAGATAAGTGGATGTTATCTAAAACGGACATCCAGAACCATGTCTTTGGTCTTCCACTGAAGCATATTTGAAGAATATGAGGATTTTTGAGAAGATACTTAGGGCGCATTTGTTTTTTGGATTTTGAGAGGGGGGTAAGCTAGTCAATGGGATTTTGGGTTTCCCATTGATCAAGATACCTATGGTCTTTTTTCAGATTTATGTGGGGGGTCCACAGAAAATTTATTTTCCCTGGGTAGTGACCCATCTCTCAGGTGGGTTACTTTTTCACTTGGGGGAAGTTGCCAACACTTGGGTGGAACAAAATTGCCCCTTTTAATAATATGGATTTTTATGGCTAAACGGTCATTGTTTTATTTACTTGGGAAATAAAAGAACATGGGTAAATGCACTTACCCGGGCAAGTGCTTCCTGAAATACAATGTATAACATGTTTAACAGATCAGGCATGGAATACAATGTATGACATGTTTAACATAACCACCACCATGCCGAAATGAATTCTCTGTTTACATACTTCATTTTATATTCTAAGCCTTCACTGCAGAAACGTTTATTGGTAGGTAATGATATTTGTGTGTATTGATTGCTGACATCGCTTCCCTTGTTTGTCTGTGGTTGAAGTGTTTGTATGGTGGAGCCCCAAAAGGTCCTCAGCTGAGAGATCTGGACCGGGGAGCAGATATTGTGGTTGCCACTCCTGGCCGGTTAAATGATATTTTGGAGATGAGAAGAATTAGCCTCCGCCAAGTTTCATACCTTGTGCTTGATGAGGCAGACCGCATGTTGGACATGGGTTTTGAACCTCAGATCCGGAAGATTGTGAAAGAAGTGCCTGCTCGCCGTCAGACCCTCATGTACACAGCAACATGGCCCAAGGAGGTCCGCAAAATTGCAGCCGATTTACTTGTTAATCCAGTTCAGGTTAATATTGGCAGCATAGATGAGCTTGTTGCCAACAAAGCTATTACCCAGGTTTGCTCCAAGAAAACCTTTCATTTACTGATGTTACTGTTATGTGAAGTTGTGTATATTCTTTTGTTTGCATTTTCAATTTCTAGTTTTAAACATATTTGCATGGTTTTTTCTGTTATTTGTTCACCCATCATGACATGAAAATTGATAGGCTCATATGGTTACTCCATCTTCTGCAGTATGTTGAAGTGGTGACACCAATGGAGAAACAGAGACGATTGGAACAGATATTACGATCTCAAGAACCTGGCTCTAAAGTTATAATCTTTTGCTCCACCAAGAAGATGTGTGACCAGTTGGCTCGCACCATTACCCGCCAGTTTGGTGCAGCAGCTATTCATGGTGACAAATCACAGGGTGAAAGGGATTATGTGTTGAACCAGTTCCGCACTGGGAGATCTCCAATACTAGTAGCAACTGATGTTGCGGCTAGAGGACTGGATATCAAAGACATCAGGTTAGTAACTACCTGTTTTCTGCTTTTGTCCTCAACCTCTGCCTTCAAAATGGCAATTTATTCCTCCTATTTTTGGGTGCTTGTTTCAATATCCTAATTGTAGCTCTGGTTTATATTCTTATTCGGGGTTTTTTTTAGCTCAGATTGTGGCAAGAAAACATTTGAACCGGATCTTCTATTTTGCAGGGTGGTCATCAATTATGATTTTCCCACCGGCATTGAAGATTATGTTCATAGGATTGGGAGGACTGGAAGGGCAGGAGCCACCGGTGTTGCTTATACATTTTTCTGTGACCAAGATGCAAAGTATGCATCTGATCTTGTAAGGGTTTTAGAAGGTGCTAACCAACGCGTTCCACCTGAAATCCGAGACATGGCTGCACGTGGTGGTGGGATGGGCAGAACTCGACGCCAGTGGGGTTCTGGATCTGGTGGGCGTGATGGCGGGCGTGGACGGAACAATGAACCCAATTATGGTGGAAGGGGTGGGCGAGGTGGCCCTCCACTATCATCAGGTAGGCTAGAGAGAGGTCAAGGGGGTCGTGGATCTGATCGTGAGCCTCGTGACAGGTATTATAGCCATTCACTGATCCCTCCATCTCTTGAATGAAAGCTGGTTATCTTTTGATACAACTCACTGGAAAAAAAATGTCAACAGGGATAGGCACGATCGGGTTTACAATGATGGCCATGATGTGGAGAATCGTGAAAGGTATGATAGGGGGGGCTACACTACAAATAATTTGGATCACCGTGCTGTGGATCGGGGTAGAATCCGCAGCCGCAGCCACAGCCGAAGCCCCAACAAGGTGCCTGGATGGGGCCGTAGCCATAGCCATAGCCCTAGCCGTAGTCCCAACAAGGTGCCTGGATGGGGTCGTAGCCGTAGTCGTAGCCCTAGCCGAAGCCCCAACAAGGTGCCTGGATGGGGCCATGGTCGTAGCAATAGCAAGAGCCACAGCCATAGTCGAAGCCGTAGCCGTAGCCGTAGCCATAGCCTTGACAGGTTTGGTCGGCCCCTGCCTGGAAGAGGACATTCTCCGGTACATAGAAGAGAGACTTCACCAAATGTTCATAGGTCAATGGGCCGTTCACCAGCATATCAGAAGCGGCAAAGGGGATCACCATACCATGGTGAAAGTGAGAGAGATGCCGGGAAACCTGTCCACTCCCAGAGTCCACAGCGTGAAAGGTCACACAGCTCGTCTGATGGGAGAGCGAATGAGAAGGAAACTTATGATTCGCCTCATCAGTGGGGAAGATCACCAGCTCATGGACGGGAAAATGGAGGGTTTACCAATGTGAGTGGCTCACCTTATCGGGGGGATGAAGAGGAAGGCATGATATCACCGGAGGAAGAGGGCATAATTCCAGCTGATGAAGAAGGAATGATTCCGGAGGACGAGGGGGATGTAGGAAGGACTGAAGAACCTGATTCACTTGGCAAATATTGATGATGTGCATGCGAATGCGATGAAAATGTCTTCTCGCGCTCTGGGCACTTCTTTTTTGATTTTTTTTAGGATTCTTTTTGATAATTTTGTGGTGATTTTGGGAATTGTTGTAGTAGCTAAAAATTGGCCAAGTGTAACTGTATTACTACTCTACTCTACCATAAAGGAATGGACAAACAGGCATAGGGCAAAGCTGATAGATATGTTCTTATAATCACAGTTACTACTAGAAACGGGCGGAAATATAATTCTTGCATGTTTCCATTCCTACTTTTTTTCTCTCGATCTTTTTCTGTGGTGGTGGGGAGTCTTCTTGGCAATTAAGGAATGATGTGTATTTGATGACAAACGAAAACATTTTCCACTGGTTACCTCATCCCCTCTTATAGACAATCAAGGATGCCAGCGTTCCCTAGTGTTGCACCCCAATAAAGAGTTGTTTAAGAAAATTGAGAGAATTAACCGAAGGAAACTTGCTGAGTGGAAAGCTGGAACCTGGAAGGGTTACATTCCTTATCCACCATTTGCATTGTTCTTCGTTTAAATTTCCCGAGTGAAACCAAAGAAGTTTTCCTTGGGTGATGAATAAGATGGAAAATCAACAAACTTGGGTAAATGGAGCTCAATTTGTAAGCACACAGAAAAATGGTGGATGGGGCTTCAGACAGATGATTGTGACATGCATTCAAAGCAGGATGGGAAGTGTTGATCCAATTATCCAACCTAATAAACCTTTGGGTGCAATTGATTAAAAATAAGTATCTCGGATGGAAGGATTTAAAGAATTGGATGGGAGATAGTTTTTTTTTTTTTTTATCAATAACTAACTTTTATTAAGAATTAAGATGGAAAATTACAACTGGAATGGAGGGGTAAAGAATCTTAATCCTTCCTGTCACAACCAAAAAACAGATTTCAAGAGAGCCCAAAAGAAATTTGCTCTTCCCACCCCCTGTTTAGCCAAAGTGTCTGCCATAGAGTTAGCACTCCTCTTGGCCCATTGAACCCTTGTATGCATGTTTTGAGTTAACTGATTAATTTTCTTTTTTTTCATTTGAAAACTTCCACAGGCTGTGCTYTTCCTTCTGCAACCATCTAACAGTCAGCCGAGAGTCACCTTCCACCAGCAAATTACTTCTTCAACTGCCTCTCTCTTTTAATCCCTTCTAGAGCTGCCAAAATTTCAGCTTTGATCAGAACAATCAATTTAAGTTTGGAGTGACATTTCGGTTGGTGATAATATTAGTGGCATCGCTCGTAACGAAGAAAATATTCAACTTGCTGAATTCATTAATCCTATCAATCACTAATGGAGGGAAGGCAAAATTTTAGAGAGGGTTCCTCAAGAAATATGGAATAAGATTAGATCTATTATTATTCGTTCTAGAGAAAAGGAAGATGAAATGATTTCGAGACCTGAGACCAAAGGTAACTTTGCAATTAGTCCAGCATATTCCATTCTTGAAAAGGAGAATGATGGTTTCTACAACCAGTGCCCACCCTGAAATTTGGAAATTAAAATGTATATAAAAAATAAGATACCTTATCTTCTATTAAATAAAAAATTATTGAGCAAAACAAGATTATAGAAAATTGGGTATGAATTTAGGATTTGTTTGTTTTGCAATCAGAATTGAATCAAAATCCTTTGAAATTGGAATCTGAATAATCTATTCCCATAGCCTGTTTGGTTCAGACAAAAATAAGAATGAGAATTAAAATCAGCTGGAATGAGATTTCATTCCCAAGGGAGAGGCAGGAAATGACCATTCCCTCAAATGGAAGAATGTCATTCCAGAAGGAATGAGAATAAAATTTCAATTCCACCCAACTAAACAGTTGGAATCGGAATAACTCATTCCAATTCTGATTTCAAACCCCTATTCCCGCAAACCAAATGGGGCCTTAGATGTGAACTGCCCATATTGTGGTGATGAAGAAGACGTTAATCATATTTTATTAAATGTCAAGTTGCTGTTCAGGTGTGGCTAATTCTGGATCGATCATTCGTACACCACAGAAGAATGAACCTATGTTAGATTGGTGGAACTGATTAAAGAATAGGGGAGGCATTGATTTATGTTGCTTTAGTTTACTGAGTAACATTAGCAGAAGAGCCTACAGAGGAAGGTCCGGATATTCTGACCTTCTAGGAAGGTAGTTGTTATTGGGTACACGAGGTCTTTTGGGGCTTCAGAAATCTGAAATCTGCAATAACTCATGTCATGTGACTCCATCCCTGATCTTGTAATTAACCTAATTAATTATATAATAAATTTAATATATTTTTATTCGTTTCTTTGATATCAAGCACCCCACCTAATAAATGTAGTAATATCTGATATTGAATTAGGGATATTTAAGCTATCAAAGAATGGATAAGGACTTAAGCTTGAATATTAATATTTACTTAACATGATTAAGTGCTTTTTGAATACTGGAAAATAAATGATGATATCCTATTGCCAACGATACCCTTGAATTCAAGCCATTTCTATATTTGGTACCTTTGCAATGTTCCACTTTCAGCACCTATTTCAACAATTAATTATCAAATGGCCCGTAAGAGAGGGGAGCTTAACCGTCACAATTAATAAGCAATGCTAACCGTTCGATAAGCCTTCGGATCAACGGTCACAAATCCACTAAAAATGCCATCCCCCTGCCTATTAATAAAAAGCTTCAGAACCCCACAACACCAAATACAACTCAACTGTCTCCCTTTGTTTCTGCTATTCTCTTTATCTCTTTCATGGAGTTGGGATTATTCTACAGAGCTGGTCTTGCATACCAGCCAATGTTTTCATTGGGAAATTGCTCCAACCCCAATTCTGGTGATGGGTTTTCTCAAGAAGCTTCCTCATTAAAACGATATTCCCAAGATCTTCACCATGCTCATCATTTTCCTGGTGATGGGTCATCATCAATCATGACATATGGATTTCCAATTCCACGGTTCGATCAGGTGGGAACAACAGCAAGTGGGTATTCAAAAAACTTGAGAGTATTCGAGTCTAAGCCTTTTGTAGAAAATGGTGGAGATGTAGTCATGGAGTCATTTCAGAGTAAGAGCTTATTGAATTATGATCAGAGAACTCCAGGGAGCTACATGGCAGAAAAAGATATAAGTCATCAGCCACAAAATCTTGGAGAAACCGAGTCGACTAATTTGGGGTTGCCATATGAAGCTCCATGCATCGTCCCTGCTGACAATGGATTGCATAGGAAAGTTGGCTTAAACAAGAGGAGAGTGTCAGTAAGAAAAACAGGCAAACTTGATGAGAGAAACAAGGTAGTTAAAGCACAATGGACCAATGAAGAAGACAGGTACTTATATTTCTTACTTGATCTTCTTACTAGTAAGTAGTTTTGATTTCTATATTTGAAATTGATGTTAAAATATATACAAGTAGAAGTATTGATCATGCAAATGTGTACATGCACAGAGTACTAGTCGAGTTGGTGAAGCAGTATGGAATGAGAAAATGGTCTTATATTGCTCAACAATTGAACGGGAGGATAGGAAAACAGTGTCGAGAGAGATGGTACAATCATCTGAGACCTGATATCAAGGTTCTTCTTTTCTCCTCCCCTTAGCTAACTCCTTTGCTTCCTTTCTCTTTGTTGAATCCACATGCATATTCCATATATAATCAAATTCAAATGGGTTATATACATACATATACATGCATGCATACATCTCTACATGCATCAATCATCATCATAATCCTTATCCCAACCATATGGGATTGGCTACATGAACCCTATTTAGCCATTCCATTTTGTTTAGTGTCATATGCTGAGGCTTTCTACCAGAAAAACAGCATTTTTGCAGAAGTCAAAAATTAAACTTCCTTTTTGCTACGCGCTGATAAGTGTAATTACTAACTTTGTTGGTTTGTAAATACGTGGCATTTCTTTGACATTGTGTAATTGTTAAAGCATGTACATACAAGATTGACGGTTATGCACTGTTCTGGCATTAATGCATGCATTACATACATGCATACATACATGTATTATTATGTATATTCATCATATCCCTGTGTGAATTTTATTTGCAGAAAGAAATATGGACGGAGGAAGAGGACAGAATTCTAGTGCAAGCCCATGCAGAATTAGGAAACAAATGGGCAGAAATTGCAAAAAGATTGCCAGGAAGGACTGAAAACTCCATAAAAAACCATTGGAATGCAACCAAAAGAAAGCAATTATCAAAGAGACAATATTGCCGAGGTTCAAAATATGCAAAATCAAGCTCACTCTTACAAGACTACATTAAGAGCTTAGCTGCAGCATCTTCGGCCGGGACGGATTACATACAACAAGACGAGTATCTCACCCACTCAAACATGCCATCTATTCAAACCATGATCACATCATCACCAACTGATGAACAAGAGACCAAAGATTATTGTGCTGGTGATCGGTTAGTCCCTGCAGCTTTTGATTTAGACTTCGACATGCCGGATTATTTTTCTTTTGATGCAAAACTGCTTGATGATAGATGCAGCATTGAATCTTTGTTTGAGGAGATGCTCTGTGTATCTGTTGTGGATGAGAAAAGTTGGAAGATGGAGAGGCCTCTGCCTCTGGACTGTGAAGCGAAGAGGGAGATGGATTTGGTGGAGATGATCACTCAAGGCAACCATTAATTCCAATATCAATGAATGATGTTATCATTAATCTTTAGATTAGAAAATAAAAGGGGAGAGATATATAAGGCTTAGGTGTAGATGTAGATGATAATGATGATGATGAAAAAGGGAGTGAGAAGGAAGCTATAGAAAACGTTAACACAATTAGTTAATGCTTTAATGGTGTTGTGCATAACATGTGCTGTGGAGTTGTTTATTAGGAAATTTGGACTAAATGCATGCATGAGCTTGTTTTTGTTGTTATTATAGTTATTGTTGTAATCTCCCTTTGTTTTGTTTTTTTTTTAGGGTTTTGAGTGTAATCATCCTTGCTGGTTCACATGAACTTCCTGAATGTCTACACTGCAGTATGAGCTGTGAAGCTTAAGCCATGCATGTATTGTAATCACTAATCACATACATGCATGCATGGGTCATGGGACATGGGTGGATAATATTTCATCTATATATGCTTTGCTTACTAATGTAATGGATGCTTAATTTGATTTTACTTTTTTCTTTTTGCCTGCAAAATTTGGCTTATTTTAAAGTGTATTAAAATTTCCCTAATTAAAGATATTGGCTCCATGTACTTTGCTGCTATTAAAGATTATGAATGAATAGCCAGTAAAGGTGGCGTTGGATTACGATCGCTGAAGGACAAGGTGCCCACTCTTGGGCCATTCTTAGTGGGTCACTGGGTCCCGTCCATTATGTATATCAATGGATTTCACGACGCCATCACTGGGTCATGATTTAAGATTTTAGGAATCTAACGAATTGGACATGCCAATATCAATCCATTATTGATCTAAGCCGTCCAAGCTAGTGGGAGACTGTAGAGGTGTAAATGGGGCTTTGTCACCCGTGGTTTGGCACGAATTTGGACCGATCTGATACAATGGTTTTTGGGCCATGTCAGCCCCAGCATGATTGTATGGGCCGTATTAGGTTTGGGGTTTTAGGTTCGTGGCCCAGCATGGTCCATATATATTATATATATATATATATATAAATATAATATAATATAATTATAATTATATAATAATATATAATATATTAATAAAGTAAACAATTGTTTTCAAGTTTATTATACCAATTTATCTAATTATTGTATACATCAAAATTTATATAAGATTAAAATTTTAATTTTTTTTAAATAAATAACTTTGGCCCGATCCACGGCCCAGCTTTGCTCAAGACTTAGCTCACAGACCAGTCCGGCTCACAGCATGGCACTGCACGGACCTGCACAGCTTGGGCCATGAGCCCTATCGGGACGATCCCCTAAATTATCCCAGGGAAAGGTAACATGGCCCATTTTACACCTCTAGGAGACTGGGAGTGGGGTTCGAAAAAAATGATCAGGACAATACTATAAATATTATAAATATGAAATAGTTTAGTGTTTAGGGTAGTTATAGGCCTCGGAAGTTAGTTAGTAATTGTGATTTGGGGAACAGTTAGATGTTGTTGACGGCTCTAAAGGAGCAAGCAATTAAGAGGCAGACCGCGTTTGGGAGTGCTTCTTCAATGGGTTTTTGGTGCTATGTAGAGAGAAGTGATGTAGGTATATAAGCTCGTGTCTGAGTAGCTGGGACAAGGTCTTGCTGAATCAGTCCTTTTGAACCGTCGTATTACTCAGAGGTTAGTTTGGTCTGAGAAAACAACCGGTTCCGTTTCACCCCTAACTTTTTTTTTTAACGAGAAATTATTGATTTGATCAACGACCCTGTAGGTTTAACAATAGAGCTGGCTTGACAAATATTGCTGAACGACTTGATAGGGCGTTTGTTAATGTTGCTTGGAGGGAGATGTTTCCACAAGCAATGGTGTATCACTTACCGGCCATACAATTAGACCATTGACGGTTTTTACTAAATCCAATGGTATTGGTTGTTGTACTCGAAATGTCCGTCGAGCTTTCTATCATTTTGGTAATGTTTTCATACAGATGACTAATATTCGGAGTGAGATCAATATCCTGCAGCAACAAGACACACACCGCTTATTTTGGTACTGTTTTGGGAACAACGCTCTCGAGATTTATGGTTAAGAGAAGGCGAGTTTACAGCAAAATCAGCATTCAAGGTATAACAAATTTTGGAGATCAACTATTCCTGTGGGCTGTGGAAAATATTACATAATGGGTTGCCAACTCGTGACAAGTTGTTCGAAAGTACTGTAGATACTATGTGCCTATGTGGTTGCTCTGACTCTGATACTGAAAAGGCAAAACATCTATTTTGGAGTTGCAACTTTGCAAGAACTACTTGGTTAGGGTCACCAGTCACCACTAAGTTGGCGTTCAGATCAGGTCTCTTCTTATCTCTTTCTGTAAGTGCTTGGCTTCGAGAGTGTGTGATGCAAGTTGATATTGCAGATGATGGGTTCACATCTCCCACAACACATTCCTACCTTGTATTGAAAACATCTTCCGATGATAGAATCAGAACCGATAATGCCGTCATCGGGAAATGTTCTCAATACACGACGGGGGATGTACCGTGGGACGTTGTGGGGCAGCCCCTTGTGAACTCACAGATGATACTCCTAATCTTCTATTGCTGAGTTCACCATGAAGACAATCATCTTATGGAAACTCTGGGATGTTCGAAATAAGGTGGTGTTTCATGGTTGGAATGGCTCTCCTAAAGAAGTAATTGGGAGTGCTATAAATTTTTTTGATGAATGGATGGCCTTAGGTGGCATTCATACGACTGAACTCACTCAGTACACTCTTAAACACTCGAGATATGACCCTACAATGTGCTGTTTGTAATGCGGATATTGTTGTGTACCTTATGCTGCTGTAAAGGATAACGAAGGGGCAATTGCTTGGTGTGTTATGGATGGGGATTATAAATTTGTTGAGGCTGGTGTTTGGCCAACTACATTTACAGAACCGGAAGCTGCAGAAGCCTTTGCAATCTTTCATTCTCTGCAACGGGTGCTGAGATTTAAAAGATCAGAAGATTACATAATTGCTGACACCATTGGGATATCTTCACAATTCACAATTTCGTGCTGTTTCATTTCAGCACATCAGACATCATGAAAATCATATAGCTCATACTTTGGCTACTACCTTTAGACATTGTACTTGTGCTCAAATTTGGGACCATTCCAGATCCCCTCCTGATGTTATTTGCAATCTCAACAATGCATAATTTCCGTTTGCAGCAAAAATATATATATACAAACATCACACTTATACCTAAATCCTATTTGGTGGGGACGTGTTATTGCACCTTGCACGTACCGGATTCAATGGCTTACCATTACCATTTTAACTTAAAACAGTCCCAACCAAACAGCCGTTTGATTACCATTGAAATGACAATTGCTACATGGAGCTCATGCATCACCGTTCCCAACTTGTACTAAACACCTTTAATAGCAGAGTAATCATGGAGTTCTTTTTCGTTAGAAGAGCATTGGTTGGAGCTTTCGGCCGGTGACCAACATGCTAACATCAGAGACCGGATCTGCTTCTCACACGCACATCCGATCATGCATTGGGAACATCTCCCGTATTTATTAGTTATTATTCACGAGAGATATTCCCAATACACGGTAGATGTGCCTGTGAGGCGCCCATTTGTGACGAGCAGATCCTATCACGTAACATCACCCGTTTCAATTTTAAAATTCTCTCGCCCAACAAAAAAGAATTCCAAAATTCTCTCAAACATGAGCATCYGCGTGACCTTGTTTTCTTTTTTGTAGGTTAAGTGCACTGAAACCCAATGCAGAATTCTGAATTATAGCCCCTTTATAAATCACATCTTATCTGTGRTACAACGGTCAGGATTCTTCCTCCCYATACGGTGGAACTAAATAATTCAGAGTTGGGTTGATCAGTCATTCTCCCTAAATTTATAGGCTTCACCGTAAAAAATGGGGCCCATGTATTTTATTAGTGGCATGAAACCTCATCATTGGTCCGGTCAGGATTCTTCCTCCTCATACGGTGGAACTAAATAATTCAGAGTTGGGTTGATCAGTCATTCTCCCTAAATTTATAGGCTCCACCATAAAAAATGGGGCCTATGTATTTTATTAGTGGCATGAAACCTCATCATTGGTCYGGTCAAGTCAAGAAGAACCCTCTGGAGATCAACTATTGTTAGCACCCAATTTTTGCTCAGTCCATTCTTTAACCCATCTCTTACATTCTGGATACCTGATCGGACCACACCAATCGCTTTAAAACATGCCTAAACCCTAAGAAACCAAATTTTAGCTCAAATGCCCATAAATCCACCGTTAAATCTACTTGATTCCCTTTTAATGGTCTTGATTATGCCACATCACCATACTTGATCCCTAATCAAAATCCATCACGTGAAACAAAATCCTCAAACAACCAATCATGCAAAAATTCCAACCTCAAATTCTTGGATTTAGCCAATCATTTATCAGAGATCCCATTTCGACGCATATAACACTACGATTCTCCTTGAACCTAAAACTCATGATCTGTATACACCTAACACAATCAAACCCTTCCAACAGCCTCATAATCTCAATCAATACCTACCCACCAAATTTTATCCCAAAATTCCCTCGTTCGACATAACATCAAGCTTAAATTCTGTTTTGACGAATCTTATTGATCAAAAGCTCACCTGTCACAAACCTCCATCATCCAAGCCCTATTGGAACAATCAGATCCCACCACCATGTTCAGTGACCCAAAGAATCCGAGAACGTCAAATTTCACGACTAAACACCTCAATTTGATCGTTGAAAAATCAAGATTATATTCCGGACTCTCTTGTTGATTGAAAAACCATTAGCTATGACCATGATCTGAACTAAATCAATCAATCCACACGTCTGATCAAAGATCTGTCACTTCCATCAGATTTGGGATGTTTGAAAATGCCTACCCACCAAAATTCTCCCGTTTGACCCTTCATCAAACAAAGATTCTATTTCAACAAATCTTATTAATCCAAACTTGTCAGACACAGATCTCAATCTTCACAACCCTGTTTGTCCGATCAGACCTCACCACTGTGTTCAGAGACCCAAAAAACCCCAACACACCAAATTTTATTACTAGATTCATCTGTTTGACCATTAAAATAGAGAGATACATTTTTTATGCACCCGATTAAACCGCCACATCAGCTGTCTAACCTAGAATCTTAAGTGGGTGGGGATTGATGTCAGATCCTTACCTAACCCCATTAAAACACCTGGACCAGTGATTTTGAGCCTAACATGTTTAAAAAACCCAAAATGCCAAACAAGCCCCTACTTAATTTCAAGAAAAGACAAAATAGCATTTAAAAGTTCTTCAAATTTATATTTTTTGCCATTGTCAGCCCCCGATACGGGGCTGCAATGTCTGGCATGCCCCAATCCCTCATTGGACACATGAAACCCATGAGAAACTACCCAAAGCCGAGAAGATTTATTGCACAAAGAATGAAGGGTCAATTGCAAGCCACTTTCTCTTAAAATTCTTGCCCATTTCTGTGAAAAAACTCTCTTGAGCTACAGACACTGTAACTGRACGAGTTTCAGACCCATCTCCATCTATTTTCTCTATAAATAGAGGCTTAGCTCGAGCTTGAAAAAGTGGGGGAGAGCTTTCCAACTCTTGTAACACACCTAGTTTGCTTGAAATCTCAATATCCTTGTAGCCAAGCTCAAGCCTCATCCTCTGTTTTCTAGCTTCAACACCAGAAGCGCCCAGCCTAGCTCCTGCCTTGTTCAAGTTTCATTTGAAATCATTTCGGCTGCTGAAAAGCTTGTTTCAAGGTCGTACACGAGAAGTAAGCCTCTCATTCCATCATCTCTTTGCTTTTAGTTTAGTTTCAGGTTGTTTAAAGTTCTGAAATCTTGAGAAATCTTAGGGAAACTAATACCTAAGACCCGATAACATCACCTCATCAATTCTAGGCGAAGTTGGGAACATTTTCACCAGATTTCAAGAGCTTTGGGCAATCTTATTAGTGTGTGTTTCTACCGGAATTTGAGTCTAAATTACTCCCGTAGTGGGCTGCAATAGCAACTTAGAGAAAGGGGTGCCTAACACCTTCCCTCTCCCAATCCTTTGAACCCAAAACCTTTCGGTTCAGTGCCTTTCTTTGACGAAGAATGAAGTCGCTATTAAGGCTAGTAAACCATTTTTCAAACTCGAAAATGATGGCCCATTTCCTCTAAAAAATGACTGGCGACTCCTGCTCCTTTGAGCTAGTCATGAGCTTCTAGGAGCCCACAATTGTCAATGGAGCGAATAAGGATCAACGCCAACCCAACAGCCTCATCACCAGGCATAGTTGTCTGACAAATTAAACTAAGGCTGCAACTTGGGCCGGGTTGGCCCAAACCCAACCCAAAAAAATTGGGTTGGGTTGAGTCGGGTTGATGTTCGGGTTAGGGTTAAAATTCATGAACTTGACTTTACTTCGAATTGGGTTAGGGTTGAACTCTTAGCCAACCCAGCCCAACCCGAACCCGACTCTATAGTACATGTCATATAAATAGATGTTAAATGTAATATATAAAATACATTGATTTGTTTAGATGCAAGCTATTTGTATAGCCTCCACCACACAATATCATGTATTTTTTTTAAGATAACCACTTCACTTAATCCTAATCAGAAAGACTAAAACCTTAATAATATTATTTTTTTTTTGAAAATTTTATTCTTCATCTCCTCTATAATGTTTGTCGCCCAAGAAAGATCTATCGTAAGCCACAACTCATAATAAACTATAGTTATTTCTAACACTTATTTTTTTGAATTATGTACCAAAAAAAAAACGTCAACAAACAAATACTAATGAAAGATGGGATTAATATATATAGTGAAAGTTGAGGTAAGATCTAAAATTGAGAAATTTATGAGGTTTTAAGGGATGAAAAGAATGTTGGATTGGGCCCAACCCAACCCAAAATTGACTTCGGGTTGAATTGGGTTGAATTAGGGTTAAAGGAATTTAGTTAGGGTTGAATTGGTCGGGTTAAGATTGGGGTTTAGAACTTAGGACCCGACCTAACCCGGCCCGACTTGCAGCCCTAAATTAAACCACTTAAGCAAATTGATTACCCGACAAATCTCCACTACGAAGGTTGAAGGTACACCGAAGTACATCCAAGAAAAAACTACAAATGGTCTACCAACGACTTGATTGCTGGAATTAGTGGGCCCGCTACAAGCAACATCATTTTCTATCAAAATCCCAAAAGAAAAACCGAACAAGTAAAAAATGAGGCAGACGGTTCCACATTCAACGGTACACTTGGCATGTTCACCGCGGGAAAAATTACACGAATGGAGCGGCGAAAGAATAGAATCATCCCAAAAAAAATGTTCATGCATTGATTTCCACCAAAAAAAATGTTCATACATAGATCGATTGCGTACCCAACTAAGTTAGACACATTTTTTCCACAGGAAAAACAGCATCAAGCCGTCTTTGGCTTTGATTTTATCCGCTTCACTCTTGAATACAGGAAGACTCCAGCAAGAGCCACCCCAGTTCCTGTAATAGAATCCAACCATTGGTAAATAAAACTGGGAATAAACCCTGGGATGTGACTTGTGAGGACTAATAAAACATAAGGATTTAAGTTTGATATACTAGCAAGATATTTTTTTGTCTACTTATTAGTATTTACCAAGAGAATTGATGGGAGAGACAGGCGTCCGGAAGAAGAGAACTGAGGTCACAATGACTACCACCCGCTTCACGCAATTGCCCACTGAGTGGGTAACAGGGGATACCCTCTGTAATATCATGTATGAAACCTGCCAAGTAAGAACTGATGATTGTCAGCACATTTCAATGAGCAGGTTATGACTTGGAAAATTTTAACTGCTCTTTTTTCCATCTAAGTAGAAGTAGAACACAGAGCAACGTAAGATTGAAGGTAATTAAGACGACGCCTTTTTCGATAAAAGGAAAAGTATAGCACTAAGTAGGTAATTGACATTCCCTTTTTTTCCTCTTGGAATTAGAATCTTTCACTTGTACATTTGACAGGATGGCCTCCGTTCAAGTACGTAAAGATAGTCTCTCTCATATATTATATTAATGTGGGCCACCGGCTTAGGAAGCATAAACATGGTAATAAGAATGCAAAGATTGCAAGTATATGGGAAGAGTGTGAAGATGTCAAATGTCAACCTGAAAGGTAGCAAAACTAAGGGAGTTGATACATTTTTATGGAGCTAGGTTTTCAGCACATATCTTTCAGTGAAAATAACAAGGTTTTTTACAAAGACATAATTTGTAGTCAAATTCTAGTGTTCCCCAAGTGATCAAGTCTTTTTGACAGAATGCAATATTCTCTTTCCTAAGAACAATAAATATCTCACAGATTATGGATTTGCTTGATAGATTCTCGACAGATACAGAAATGTCTTGATTCTAAGCACGAGACAAAGGTAAGGTAAGCACCATCATTCATTTAAGTACCATAAGAATTTGAAATTTTCTTAACCATTGCAATACTTTTAGAGTGTTCATAACAGCAAAGAATTTTTACATGGTTGCCTCATCTCTTCAATAAGCAAGACTACAAAAGTGTAAAGGATCAGCCTCAGTTTTATCACAGCAGTTAGAACACAACTGGACAGGATTGGGGGATGAAGTGGCCTCTGAAAGTAATGGCCTTTTTATAGGTTATAATTCTTAACAATAACATGGATTATCAGATTATTTGAAATAAAGAGCTAGCTTCATTGACTATTTATGAAGGCCAGAAATTTCTTTTATATTTGGTTTTCAATTTTTCAATTTCTTACACTGCACCATCAACATTTTCCTTGAGCTTCATTAGCATAATTAGCCAGTTCAAGAACAGAAGACAGGCAAAGATACTATCAAATTAATTTTGAGGGATCTAATATTTAGTTTAAACATTGCAGCCTACATTTTATATATATTCAAAGTGGAATGAAGTTATCAAATAAAGGCCTAGTTCTATGCAGGAAAAAAAAGTTCACATGATTGAGGATAATGCAACAAGATTGGATGGGGGTGAAAGAAAAAATAAAAGAGAAGAGGGAATAAGAACAAAAAAAAAAGTATAGGAACAATCACCTGTTGGTATGCATGGAAACAGAGCCCAGCCAGTAAAGATCTCACACAAACTTCTCTAACATTCAAGCCCTGAAATTCCAAGAAATGAAAAGAATAGAGATGCTATCAGACTAATGGACCAAAAACAATATGCAATCAATAGTAATTTTTTATGAGATGAAATACTCACTGCAGACTGCAGGTATGATGGAGTAAACTTGACACCTTCCATGAAAAGAGTAACAGGGGCTAACAGGATAAATGACATAATTGTTATTATTGAGAAGAGAGTTATATTGTCCAGAGATTCCTGTTTAAGAACAAGATGATAGTTATGGGTCAACTCTCACAAGAATCTTACACAAATTTAAATAGTTAGGACAAATGCAGTATAAATTGGCTAGGAAAACAACAGAGAGAATTGTACAGAAACAATGAAGTAAGATAAGAAAATTTTCTGCAGCTACTGATCTTATAGTTATTTAGTGATTAAGAAAATACTAGTGAACAAACACAGATAACAATACTGAGAACATTTTACTGATAACAATTTACTAGTAAACAAATGAATTTGCGTCTAAATAGGATAAGTTACCTCTTTCTTAACCATGAACTTTTTACTGAGAACATTACGAGATTGGTTACTCAGGTTAGAAGCCATTGCACTCCAAAATCCAGCCCTGCGTCATAAAACAAAATGGCAAGATTATATAGGGCTAGAGTCTGAAATATGAACTAAATTACTGTATAAGGAATTCATCCGCCCTGCATGTAGGCAAACGGATTTCTTCCACATCATACTAACACCAAGATAAACAGTGATTTGCTTACCAATTAAAAGAGGCCTCAGTAAGTGATGCCAGTGCTACTCCACCAACAATTGGTAAAAGAGACGACACCACCAATAGAGTGGGTATCTGTGAGTATAGGACGACAAAGCATTAAAAGGTGTCCAACAAGAACAAAGACAGAAAATTTGTTTGATTATGTTAAAATGTCCTATATACGTGTCTGCATAGATGCAATGTTGAAAAATCAAAAGCATCCAGTCAAAAAAATGAAAAGAGGGAAATCAATAACAACCATGCGTGTAAATAGTTATATACTAACCCATGTTCAATATCAAACAAGCTTCTATTTCTTAAAGATATGAATTCCATCACTTTCATGTAATATAGTTGTAGAAAGACAAAGCATTCAGAAAAATGGCATAAAAAAGGTAAAAATGAAAAGGCAAGCAAGATAGATAGATAGTAAATCAAGAAACAAAATAGGCTTAGACTCCACAGTCCACACCAACAAAGAAGATGGAATTACCAAACACATAACGGTATAGTTAAGCCTTACCTCTCCAAGAAACAAGGCTGAAAGTATAACTGAGAAAAAAGGTTCCATTGCTTTGATTGTGTGGGTGAATGAGACAGCAACTTTCCCAAGACTCATATTAGTGAAAAGGTTTCCGAAAGTGTGCACTATAGCCAGCGGAAGAATTCCTAAGAGCTGTAGATTGAATGTGCATAACCAAGGTGTAAGGTTCGAGATGAATATAAGTGAAATAAGGGCAATTATCTGATAAAAATATAAGCAGATACCTGTGAACCACTAATCTTAGGCCTTTTGTAGAGATTAAATGTCCACATAAAAATGACAAGAACAGTTCCCACAGCAAATTGGAACGTTGTGATGGTTACCGGGAAAGGAAAGACCTTGAGAACCTGCAAATAATCAATAGCGTCAATACTATACTCTCTTTCTTATATATGAAAAAAAAAATAAGCTACAGATCTTTGGGCTTGAGCAGAAATACAGTGAAGCTCTCTCCAGAAAAGAATGGGAAAAAAGGCATTGAATGGTTTAGCAAATGCAACTACATAAACACTGAAAATATTCTCGAATCATTGCAAGACTTCAAAAAGCAGGTGGGATACCATCTAACTGGTGCAATTTTCTACGCAAAGTTGATAGATTAGATAATCCAGCCCGTGATAGATGCGTAAATAAACTTTCAATTTCAGACTCCAAATGTGACAGAAAACCAAATACGGATATCCGAAGAAATCCTGCTTCATTTGCCACAAGATCTATCCTTTAACACTATATATATATATATATATATATATATATATAAGTTAAATTTGCGTTCTTAATAAGTACGGATCTACCTGCAGTTAAATAGCTATAATTGGGAAGACACGATAGAAGAAAATGAACAAGGAAAAAATAAAAAACATTGGATGAGATAAGTAGTGAATTATAATAGAAACAAAGGTGCGATATGGTAAAAAATCGAAATAAATAAAAGAATGAAGTAAAACAAAGGAAAGAAACAACATGAGCTAACATTTACAGCAACAAAAAATAAAAAGGAAGATATGAATTGAGAGAAATATGCACCTGTTTGTTGTAGATGTTGAAGTAGATATTGAAAAGGTACCATAGGCCGAACAGAGTTCCGAGAACTAAAGTCTGGATACTGTTGGATTTCGCGCTCTCGTCAGCGCTCTCAGAAACCGAGGCTGCCTTAACGCTAATATCGTTCTTAGGTCGATCGGAAACGAGAGATGGAGTAGAAATCCAGCTGCTGAAACGCGACGAAGAATAGAGCTGCGAAGATCTAGAGCAGGAAGAAGCTCCATGACCAGAGGTGAGATCGAGTGATCTGGGAGAAGAAGAAGAGAGCACAAGAGTAGTGAATCTAATGATAGGGTTTTGATTCAAAGGTTTTCTAGCTTTGAGAAATGGAGTAGAAGGAGGGAGAGCGATTACACTGCTCTGCATTTTCTTCGGGAGGTGAGAAGGACAAAAGCAACCTAAGAGATGCAGATTTTTGAGAGTTTTTTTCTATTGTTTTGTCGAAAAGGAGAGTGAGAGGTTTTGTAAAGTAACAACCGAGAAGTACGGATACACCGGATGCAGAACAAAGACGAAGGGACGGACGCTGTCACGTGAGGAAGAAAATTTTAATCGTCAGATTGGAATCTACTTATTAGCACGACAATCGCACTCAACTAGTACCAGCAGCCAGCCATCCATCTGAACCGACTGCCTGAGTGAGAGCCGTGTGGTCTCTCATTTTAACCCCTTTTATTTATCTTTTCTTCTAATTCTTTATTTTATTAGCAGCGTTGCGAGGAACTTTGAGCTCATTTCTAGGACTGTAAATTCAAGATCTAAACCGTTGGATTGACATACTATTCATGGATGAAGGCTAAGATATGGGCTGAGTCCACACTTACGATTCTCTTAAGTTGAGGCAAACGATATTGTAACTTTTCTTTCTTTTTAATATTGTTTTAATTGGCTATTTTACGAGATATCGGAATGTCTTCGGTATCTCCGTCTCCTTGAAAGTTTGAAAAAAGTTGGTGACGGGTTGGACTGTCACTTGTCTGTACCGGGTAACGGTAACGTCCGTTTTCTACTCATAATATTTTTTAATTGATTTATCCTTTATTATGCGTGTATTTTCTAGGTGAATTTCCAACAAATTGATGTGCCGCTTCAGCAAAAGGGGCCCCATGGACCCTCACCTAACAAACGGAGCCCCATAGGTCTCGTCGGTCCATTAGGGCCTGCTAGGGAGCTACCGATGGAAGCGATGAAAAGGGGGTTGGGGTTAGGAAACGTGTAGAATAATATAGTACGAACAAAAAAAATATATAAATTATATGGATTATGGAAGGTAGGTGAAGTGAAAAGGAAAGGAAGCATGGAGTTTCTTCAGTCAAGTCAAGATTGTTGGCTTAAACAGGTGCGCCGATTACAACTGATGGTGGATCAGTTGGTAATTTCTCTCCCTGGTTGTAGCCAAGGCTTAAAAAGATGAACTCCACTCATGTATAGTTTCAGAAGGAAAAAAATATATATCAACGGATATTATATGTTTTAGTATAATGTGTTTTTTATATTGCAACACTGTAATCGATGACCTAATAGTTGAGATGGTCGCTCAGTCCTCCAAAAATGAAGGTAGGAGTTTAAGTTTATATAGTTATCTATATGGTAACATAAAAAAATAAAATTCAAAGTCCCTATCCCAAAGAAAAAATATATCACATTTTAGCAATTAATTCCTATAATTCTGACCACCATTACAATCCCATTATGACTACTAGTTGGGTTGTGGGCCTTTTTATTGACTCGTTAATGTGATGGGCCTATCTAGTTCTTAGTCTTCAAGCCAACCCAAGCTATAGGTTCTTCATATAATGAACAATGAATTAGGGATGCAAATGGATGGATCAGATCGGATTCAAATCAATGTATATCTGAATCTAATTCAATATGTTATAGATCTAATCTGATCCAATCTAAATATCTTATTAGATCTCATAAATATTTATTCGAATTTAAATTTAAATTTGATTAAGATGTTGGGTATTCGAATCAGATTTGATTCGATTTTAATTTTAAAAAATAATAATAATAAGGGTAAAATATAAAAACCTCTCTTGAAGTTTCTGACAATCATAAGAACCTCCCCTATAGTCTTATTTTAGCAAAAACCTCTCCTCTATTTTAACAAATACCTCCCTTCCGTCAATAATCAAGACAGAAAACGTTAAAGAGATGATATTTTTTAAAATGCCTATTTTTCCCTTTTACAAATTTTGTTTTTTCTCATATAACCTTTTACAAATTTAGGATGGTGTAGCATCTTCCAAAAGTTTTCCAACTTTCCGGTGTATGTGAAGCTCCTCATCGAGTTACCCCACCGAGACTCCATGCATTTACTCCAGCGGCATTGCATGACGGCAAACGAATCACTGTTGTGACTCGGCGACGAGAGAACAACTTTAGGCGCATCGAGATCTTTGATCTAGAGCTAGAGTTGTTTTGTAGGGTAACGGAAACTGTAAACCCAAAATTTTACCACTACAAATCCTTTTTTCTCTCTGAAATCAGGTTTTCTTGGATACCACCGATTCTAAGGTGATTCGGCTTCAGGGGACTCAATCGTTCTACATCTCGAACCTATAACTTCTTCAGTGACGGAGCTGAGAATGCTCCAGCTTAACAGATCATTCCCTTCATGTTCTCTCGACGGTGACCTGATCACGTTCAACCACGACTCAATCGTTTTGCATCTCGAACTTGACGACAAGTTCGTAGTGTTCAGGTCTGGGAGATTTGTCCAACTAGTCGACGAACGGGAAACTAATAGCCTTCTCGTCTAACCGACACAATACCAGCAATGTGGAGGCCTTCAGCATATACCTTATTCGTCCAGATGGAACAAAACTCCGACAAGTCTACGTGGTAGGGGTGGAGGGATCAACAGAGGCAGACAATGAGAGGATCAATCTCATCCAATAACATCTTCATCGACCACATGTGAATAGCTCCATCTCAACTGTTGTTGCATCTTAACTGAAGAGCCTCATGCCCATTCTAATATTCTTTCACCAATTTTCTAATTCCATAATTTTCGCAACTACTAGAGATGTTAACCATCTTCCGTTGGATTTTTTCAACTTTCTTTCCAAAGTTGTGAAAATCTACACCTTCCTTGACGATGCAAAGACACCTTTTCACAAAGCTCTTCTGTTGTGCTACTTTTACTGCTTGGATATAGTCGAGGACAATTGTCTCCACCTTGAGAGCAGCCTTTCGAATTTCTAAAATCTAGTTATGGACCCATTGGTCTTCTTCTTGATTTGTATCTGCATCTTTTAAGAAGCATTGCATCCTCCTCGGTTCAGTTTAAAGCCCTTCAACTTGGTCTTTCACTTCGGACAACAAAACTGCTTCTTGAATGAGTAAATCGCCTATCTTAGTTACAATGCATGAAATTACAGAGTCAGACATCTGATATTCCATCCTTTTTCTCTTCTCTTCTCATTGTCTCAGAACAAGACAATTAGGTCTATTTATAGTGCAAATTAATTCTTTCTTTCTACTCGGCAATGTGAATGTTGAATCATGTGAGAGGTCTCTCTCTCTCTCTCTCTCTCTCCTTCTTCAAAGTCGTTGGTACCAACGAAGATTGCCTTGCAAATTCTTACCAGTTTGAGTGGCGTATCGGCGGAGCCAGTGTCCATGCCGAATCAATTTTCAGCCATACGGTGATCTAAATGTGGTGAGATTGGACGGAAGTGGGTTGAAGAGGCTGACGTGGAACAGGTATGAGGATGGAACCCGAACCTGGAATTCAACGATGGGGAGATAGATGTGGGTCGGCTGTCGGTGGAGACCATGGTGGGAGATAGGCTCATGGGTCAATTTGATGAACCGCTTTGGATTCCTTGCTATATGTGAGAGATAATAGATTCTATAAAGCTCAAGGCTTCGTTTATGGCATCATTCCAGAGAAGGAGAAGCCTGTGAGCGGAGCCTTCAACGATTTTCATGCCTTGGCTTGCAGGACAAGATGACAGCGAAGGAGATTGTGGCTTGGCTTGCCGTCATTAACCAGGAAGAGGCGTTTTCCAAGAAGCTCCACCTTGAGAGTTGCCCTCCTATGTCATCAACAGTGGGGAGTGGATCTTTCACCATTAGCAACAACAATGAATATGATGTTGAAGGGGTTGAGAATGATCTAAATGTTGAAGTACAAGAGTGCAAGCCTCACAATGTGAATCTGTTCAATTTGGGGATGGGGTTAGCCAAGGATAGACTTATGGTTCCTCTACTGTTGTGTGTCATGAGGAAGAAGATGAATAGTGTTCGAGGGATTATAGTGTTGCTGAGACAGGGCTATTTTAGTAAAAATAGATGCACATTAATTGCAAAAGGGTAAAATATGTATTTTGAAAAAAATGACCATCTTTTTAACGTTTTCCCTCTTGGTTATTGATAGAAGGGAGGTATTTGTTGATTTTTTTCGAAAATAGAGGGAAGGTTTTTTCTAAAGTGAAACTATAGGGGAGGTTTTTGTATTTTACCCTAATAATAAATTATTAAAACAAAAATAAAATATAATAGTTTAAATAATATAAAAATTTATGAAAATACAATATAAATAGCATATTTATAAATAACATATATATATATAAGTGAATAAGTAACATATATATCAGATAGGGGTGGTCCAAATCTGATCCAAAATCCAAAATAGATATATATCCAAATCCAACAAAATATGGTCAAACTATGAATTCAAAACCAAACTAGCCTGGATGGTCAAACTAGAAAATCCAAGGATCAGTCACCTGACCAGTTTGGTTTTAAAAATCTTGACCCCACAATCAAGCATGCAGGATTTCCTTAATAGAAGTAGTCGAGGTGCGCATTGTGACTCTTTGGTTATCTCTTGGAATATGTTCTTCCAATAAAGAAGGCCGAGTTTTATTTCTTGTTCGGCCATGTTTCAATTTTAAATCCGAAGTTTGAACTAATAAATTGGAACAATTTTCTTTTTATGTACTCATGTTTTAATTTGTTGTGTTCACTATCATCCGAACATAATAGGCAGGTGACGTTTAAATAAATCAAGAAACATAAAAAATCCAACTTAATATTTAATTAAAGGCCTGTTTGGCATATCTTTTTAGGAAGACCCTCTAATAGTTTTGACGGTCAAAAGACACATTGAGCTTTTACATGAAGATCTGAGCAGTCTGAAACACATTTGGCAGACGCATGTCTTTTCATGCGTCTTTCCATGTCTTTTCATGTAAGACGCAAAAAGTTTCATTTAGAACTTCCCGAAATCAGCCCATAATAGGCTTTTCACTTCTTTTCGGCATTCTAACTTTTGGCAACTAGATCTTCCGTGAATCAAATAGAAATAGACCAAAAATTAATGTACTCAGCTTGTAAACAACTAAAAAACCACACGGAAAGACACATCAAACAAGCTCTAAGTCTTTTTTTAAAAAGATACTAATAAGACTTGTGTAATGCGCACGGGCTTTGTTAAAATAAATTGAGATTAATAAGCCCTTAGTGGCATTCTCAGTTGGGTCGAAGTAGACCAATTTCAATCGAGACATTATATTTGGGTTATGTATTGTTAGACAAAATTAAGTATTTACTATAATTATTGTTTAACAAAATTAAGGAACTTATTGCTAATTAAGTGTTTAATGTTATTTAACAAAATTATCAGAATTTAGGTTTGGGTCAGCTGCAGTACCACTACCGTTTGGTAAGTTTTTTTAAGGAAGATATTTCAACGGTCCAGATGGCCAAAAGACATTATTTTTTGGGGTCTTATAAAAAAAACTACGAAGGGATTTTTTTGGAAGGGTTTGTTAGAGGTTACGAGTCCCAGGACTCAGAACCATTGGGATATGCAGAACGAGGCTAATCCTGGTACGTTGGGAACAAGTGCTATATTGTTGTGACATCAATTTCATGTGAGGTTGGTGAATGCACAAGTGAGGCCGCCATCATCTCTCCACCTACTTGTGTCGATTACAATATTATGTCAAGGAGGTCTGATTCCCCCGCTAAACGGTTTATAGTTGATAACAATACATATTTCTTCCTTCCCAGGACTAATGGTCGCTTGATAGCCTCTCCATTAATTTCTTTTAGGTACAAGCATTAATTGGTATCGGTAAAGAGGAGGTTTCAGAAATGGTTGTGGGGGCACCTATGATGCCGGTTCTGGTGAGGATGGGATGTTTTTCGGCTTTCTATTTTCCGATTATTCTTCCGGTGAGTTTGGAGATCATAGTTGCGCTTCAGTTACGGTTGCATTTTGGACGAGTAATTTAGGCGCAATTCATGGCCTTTTCTGTATTTTGTTGATCATGAACTGATGGTGCGCAATTCGGTCGGTCCTATCTGTTAACGACTTTGCCTCTGAACGGAGATACAGTGAACCTGAAATGGAGAAGATGAGGAAACTCCGGGGGGAACCCAGCGTGATTGCTCCAAAGCTCAAGTTAGAATTCTTTTAAAGGCAAGATAAAACCAGATGGCGCAAAGTTCACATACCTTGTTCTTAGGGGGTAGGGAGCCTTTTATAACCACCTCGCGCACTTACTTCTAAGCTTCTATCAGATCGGGTATGATTATTTCTAAGCTCCTACCAGTTCGGATGTCATCCCCTCTGCTGGACAGAACCGCCACTGCTCTCTTTGTCGGAGCCGTCTCTGCAGCTGGTGACGACGGTGGCAGGTGGCCGTTGAAGTGCGGTTGTCAAGCGTCAGATCCCAAGTCAGTCAGGTTCGCCGCCCTTGGATACGGACATCCTCGGTGTCAGGTATGGTACGTTTGTTCAGTTTGGCATCCTGGAGGCGAAGTGCTGGAGTGGTGAGCGAGGTGAAGTCTTGAGTTCGGATCGGGGAGTGTCCCAAACTGCCATGGGACGAGCCGGTTCGGGTTGTTGCCTTGTGTGAGGCTCGGGGCCTAAGGGAGAGTTCGGGCTCCTTGTAGGGAATTCGGGCCCCTAGTAGGGAGTTAGGGCTCCTTGTAGGGAGTTTGGGCCCCTAGTAGGGAGTTCGAACTGTTGGTTCCTCCCTTTGATGCTCGCACTTTGGGCACGTTGTTGTGCCGAGCTATTGCCTTTGCCACGTGTTGAGTGATTACGAGGTCGGGCCAAATCTTCCTTCATCATGAACCATCAACTACCTTTTCATAGAAAGCTTCTGAATGATTCGGGACTCTGAATACACTATCCTCCGTTAATTGAGAATATCTCCCCTTGCATAATACTAGAYAGAAGATGAGGTATTCTCCATATGTGCTACCATAAATGTGGGCAGAATTTGTATGGGCAGGATATCCGGACTCAGAGTTCCCAATTCACAGGAGGTAATGTATTGCAGGTAGACATGGTGATTTGGGCCTTCTATTTTCAAGGCATTTTCAAGCATGTTTTCTTATCTCTGCGTTGGAGATTTAGGCCTTCTACAGCTTCTATGTAAAGCCCTGGTGTTATGGTTTTGTTACAGTTTGGGATTACCATATCACTTTGTTTTTGTTAGGGCCTCACAACAACCGTGCATAGTATAAAGTAAYAACGTATTTGAAATAGCAACCGCGAAAAATCTAATAAAAGCAAGAAAGATGAAATCTAAGCAAAGACAAATAAAACAAGCACTACAAAGACACAAAGATTTACATGGTTCGGCCTTACCGCCTACATCCATGGGAGAAACGAAATCTGTTATTCACTATGAAAGAAAACTGAGAACAATACAAGTACCTTGCGACTTGCAGTCCAAACCAACCCTTACCCTTGTACACCCGTTCTCCCTCCTCATAACCCGAAGAACAAAAACAAGAGAAAAAACCCACTCTCACACCAAGAACACTCTGTATTTTTCTCTCACACCTTTTCTCCCAAAAAACCTTAACCCTACATACAAAAGAAAACTTTTATATGTAAAACCTCTTTAACCTAAATAGGGGCCACACCAACCGTTAGATTAAAAGTAATCTWGCAGTTGTAAAATAAGACACAATCCCAACAATATCTACCTTAGCTTATTTTTCAACCACCTTAGAGATATATTATTTGTGTCTCCACCTGTTTGCAAATACCACAAGCCTCCATTAGCCTTGTAAAACATCACTAGTTACACATAATCTGAATCATTCGGTCCCGACTCCACCTGATTCAACATCACAGCCTATGTACCTGTGTAACTGTACCCAAGCTAACAATCCTAATTAACTTCAGAGAGAGAGCTCGATCATTCCTCTCTTCCAATAGAAATCTTCCCCTCATCATCATTTGTACCTTGGAAACTTGCAGCATTTGTCTCTACTCTATCCGCAAAAGAGGCCCTCCATGTGGCCACACTACCTTGCGCATTCCATTTCCAACATCCCATCGAGGTCTTGGGAACCACTGTACTCCCAACCAGATGATACAAACCCTTGAATTTTTCTTCCTTCATCAGGACCATACTGCCACATGTGATTTTCATAACTCCACCTACAGCAAAATCTTGCATCCCTTGGAGTCTAGCCAGCTAAGTGATATTAGATTCCTACACATTTTTTGGACATACGCCACATTACCCAAAGTGCGAACTACTCCATCAAACATTTTGATTTTCATTGTCCCAACACCCATGGTGTTACATGTAGACCCATCACCCAAGGAGACAACACCTATCTTCCTCTTTTGGAATGTGTTAAAATATTCCTCCCTAGAGCAAATATGCATAAAACATCTAGAATCTAAAACCCACTCATTTGGAGAAAAATTACACATACCTTCGGAGACTGAGAACGTCTCCATCATCATCAGATGCAATTGCTAGGCTTCTAGATTCATCCCCATTCCTTTTCTGTGCAGGACAATCTCTCTTCATGTGGCCAAATTCCTTGCATCTGTAACACTGTATCTTGCCATTTTCCCTAGCATTAGATCTAGACATGCTGCTCTTAGATCCCCTATCAGGCGACTTTCCTTTCTGATTCATTCCCACCATGACCAACGCAAAGTCTTGCCCGTTCTCATACTTAGACTTCCTCCTAACCTCACTGGATAGAATAGATGCAATAACTTCTTCCAGCTTCACTGTATCTTTCCTGTACAACAATGTTGTCACTAAGTTTTCATACGAATCAGGAAGTAAGGTAAGAAGCAAAAATGCATTGTCTTCTTCCTCCACTTTGACATCAACTTTCCCTAGTTGATTCAATATACTATTGAACACATTTAGGTGTTCTAGGAGATTGCCCACCTTCTTCCATCTTCAGCCCATACAACTGCCACTTCAGATATAGCTTTGTAGTTAAGCTTTTAACTAAATAAAGCTTCTCCAACTTATCCCATAATTCCGGTCCAGAATTTTCCTCCATTACGTTAAACATAACATTATCAGTTAGGAGCAATTGAATCGTACTAACACACTTTGACTCGATGTCCTCCCAATCAAAATCATTCATGTCTTCTGTCTTCCCATACTTTTCCTTCAATGCTCTAACCAAGCCTTGTTGAATCAGGATGTCATTTACCCTTCTTTTCCACAGGGTAAAAYTGCCTTTGCCATCAAACCTCTCAAATTGGAATTGAGAACCTGTACTTTTTGCTGCCATTATCTCTCAAGCAATTTCACAAATACCTTGTAAACACTAACATGGGAGCTCTAATACCACTTTGTGAGGGCTTCATAACAACCACCCACAGTATAAAATAACAAGGTATTTGAAATAGCAACCACAAGAAATCTAATAGAAGCAAAAAAGATGAAATCCAAGCAAAGATAAATAAAACAAGCACCACAAAGACACAAAGGTTTACGTGGTTCGGCCTTACTGCCTATGTCCACAGGAGAAATAAAATATGTTCTTCACTATGAAAGAAAACTGAGAACAATACAAGTACCTTGTGCCTTGCAACCCAAACCAACCCTTACCCTTGTACACCCGCTCTCCCCTTCCTCTCAACCCGAAGAACAAAATCAAGAGAAAAAMGTCACTCTCACACCAAGAGCATTCTATGTTTTTCTTACACATTTTCTCCCAAAAAAACCTTATCCCTACATACAAAAGAAAATTTTTATATACCACACCAACCATTACCATTAGATTAAAAGTAATCCAACGATTGTAAAATAAGACATAATCCCAACAGTTTTCTTCAATCTTAAGGGCTTTACACTCGTTTCTACTGTTGTTACTAAGGGAGTTGCACTTATTACTTTGTCTTTGTTAGAGGCCGAATGCCTTCGTTGTGGCGTTTCTTGACTTTGGTGTCATTTGCAGAATTTTATTGAATTCCTTTTGCCTTTTTGGCTTCAAAACAAACACATACATTCACATCAACCACAAACGTCTACGTCGGCATGCTTAAAATTTACTCACTTAACAAACTTTTATTCTTCTATAAAGCCGGTGTATACGATGCAGAGCCAACCACCTCTTTTTGTTTCCTTTCTTAATTACGAGAATTACTACCAGATGGGGACGGAGATTTTACGCCCTCAAGACTGTTTAGTCGAACGCAGGAGAGTATGCCCGGTGGCCTTGCCTCGCCATAAGCCTTACGCCAATAACTCCAGATCTTGCCAGAGACAAGCCATCCAACCTGAACCTAGAAAACGCTTCCCTCAAGAAGAGCCCTTGATTTCGAAGAAATAGACCACAAGCTCTAGTGATTCAAGACCGTCGTCCTCATCGTCGAAGGGTTTGGTTGTGGGATATGTGATCATCTTAAAATGCTACAAGACTCTTCAATCCAATAGAAGGAATGAATATTTTGCTAACAAGACCATAGTTCCGAGCGGGGAAGAGGATATGGGATGTGAATCTTCTACTCTGTTGTTAGGGTATGCAAGTAAACTCCGTCCACCACCTCCTCCGCTTYGTCCTTCATCTGTTGTATTATCATGAAAAGGGGGGAAGAAATTTGCAAGTTAATTGATGGTTTCTCTTTCCCTTGCAGGGTTAGAGTTGGGACTGAGGAGTAGCCATCTCGAGGTAGAGAGGGTGAGTGGCTGGTTCCAGACAACATGAACAAAGGATCTTCAGGTCTTGGCTTTATATAATTTGTTTGCTTTTGGATTTGAAAATTCATGTCTAGACTCTGGAGAGAGAGAGAGAGATAGAGAGAGCTGCAACTGTTGTGGATGGAGATTGGATAAGAGAGAGAGGAGACTGACGGACAAATTGACGATGAAGCTTTGATTTGGAGTGGATTTGGATGAATCTGCGGCAGTTTGCAATTTGCAATGCACCCGGGTTTGTAGAAAACAAGGAAACTGCCTCCGGTTTTTTGGTTTGGTTGGTTCAGCGCTTCACTTCCCTACTGTGGAACTGAAACTGGAACTTGCTTATGCGTTCACGACACCGGTGGAATTGGCGAGGCGTTGCCAGTGAACCGCATGGGTGAGCTTTGGCTTCGTGGTCCCAACGTTATGAAAGGTAAAAGGCAAAAAGGATGAGATCTCATACCCATCCACACCCACCGCCAGTGGCTTCTGCGTTCAGTGAGATCGCCGATCGCAGGTGGATGCTTTTGGTAAAGGGGTTGGCGGAGGAAAGAATGGGAGGAAGAAGAATATAAGGTGTATTTTTTAAGTTTTTTTGTCTTTTTGTGTTCGGTTCAACTGGATTCTTTAATAAACGTCCGTTAAGTTAATAAATTTTAAACACGCCGACGTGGGTGTTTGTGATTGGCGGGTGTACTCGTCCAGTGCACAGAATGTGGACTCTGGGTCATTTTCACCTGTTTAAAAAACAACTATTTAAAATAAAGAGAATTTTGATGGATTACCATCTGTTTTTCTTTTTTTTTTATTATTATTTTCCTTTTTTACTGTTTCGCATTTAAAATAAAGGAAAAATTCTAATTTAGTACCCTAAACTTTGAGGGTAGTGTGTACTCCGATTTTCAAATGTGTCATCCATATCCAAACTTTCAAAAAGTGTTCAAAACTGTTAAGGGACGTTAAGTATCATGTGAAACGACACAAATGTTTTTATGTATCATCTAATTTTATTATGATTGGCATCTCATCTCAAGAAAATATGGACGGAGAACATCAATCGCAGCATCTCGAATAACAGGAAGCTGTTAGCCGTTTGATCGCTTTCTCGATAGAACCGGTGCAAGAAGAACAAGTCATTCCCAATATCGAGAACAAAGCCTTCGCCTCCGATCCTTCTATTCCTATGTTATCCTATATATACAAAGGCAACAAATAACGAACAATCAGAACTCAAAAGAAGCGTGTAGTAGCACAACAGTGGGTTTCTACGCCTTGCTGGAGGGTTGCATTACGAAACTCATTTCGCTCACGTCTCCACAAGATGTGTGCCAATCGTTGGTGGTCTCATCGGAGTTTCCATCGGCGGAAAATTCAGATGCCATGTGGAAGAGATTTCTACTATCTGATTATCGAGATATCCTTTCAAGATCACTCTCCAGTGGATTTCCCATCAAAGAATGACCTCTATTTTCAACTTTGGGATCACCCCATCCTTTCAAGCCACCTGAAACTTTTTCGATTCTTTGACGTTGGTTGATTTTGTGTATTGACCAGATTAGCACCGCGTGGAGAACACGCGAGCTTCTGATAGCTTTCCCCTTTCTAATTCCAAATAATACAGAACTTCACATTGGAAAGACGCAATGGGAAGAAATGCTTTACATAAAGTTACGAGAACCAACCGAGAAAAACAGAGAAAAAGCTTGTTTGTTTATTACAGAGTTCAATATATATAGATACATAATTAGTCTAATTGTACAGCTGGACTAATAGAATCTTTTCCAACAGATTTACACGTGTTGCTATACGCCCCCTCAAGTTGGAGAATGGACTTGGGTGATGCCCAACTTGGGAACTAAAGCTTGAAACTGGTCTCGCCCCAAAGCATTCATGAAGATATCTGCTGGTTGTAACTTCGAGGAGATATGTGCAGTAACAATGGTTTGGGATTGAATGTGCCGGAGGATGAAGTGGCAATCAAGCACAATATGCATGGTGCGTTCATGGTAACGGGGTTAGCAGCAATGTGAAGAACTGCTTTGTTGTCATAGTAGAGTTGCATAGGCTCTGGATGATGAAGGCCCAAATCATGAAAGAGACGTTTCAGCCATAATAGCTCACTAGTGCCTGCAGCCACGGAGCGGTACTCAACTTCAGCAGAGGAACGAGATACGGTGGATTGCTTCTTTGTCTTCCAAGAAAGAGGAGAAGAGCCAAGGGTAGTAAAGTATCCTGTGGTCGATGGATGAGTAGTTGGGCAGCCAACCCAGTCGGAATCATAGTAGGCCCGTATAACAAGATCATTTTGTGAAGACAAAAGAAGGCCATGATCTAGGGAAGATTTCAAATAACGAAGTATATGCATTGTAGCTTCCAGAAGGTGTTAGTGTGTAGCAATCATGAATTGGCTTAAGATGTGCATTGAGTAAGTGATCTCAAGTCACATTATAGTCAGATAAATGAGGCGACCAACTAGTCTTTTGTATTGAGTTGAATGATCAATGGGTGGTCTAGAATCAAGTTGGAGGTGGTATTGTTGTTCCATGGGAAATAGGCTGGGTTTACAAGCAAGCATTTCATCATCCTTTAGAACATCCAAGGTGTATTTATGTTGGCTAAGGAATATGCCATGATCATCAAGAGATACCTCAATGCCCAAGAAATAATGTAAAGGTCCAAGATCCTTGATGGGAAAGCAATCGCTAAGATACTGTTTTAAGGTTGCAATGGCAGAAGCATCATTCCCAACTACTACAAGGTCATCAACATAAGCCAACACAACAAGAAAGCACCCCGGCTTGGTCATGGTGAAGAGTGTATTATCAGCAAGAGATTGCACAAATCCCTGTTGCTTTAATGCTCGTGCTAAGGTATCAAACCAATTTCTTGAAGCTTGTTTTGGGCCATATATGGACATGTTAAGACGACATACGCATGCATCTCCTAGGGAAAGTAAACCTGCTGGTGGTAGCATGTAGACTTCTTGTAATGCTCCATGTAGAAAAGCATTATTGACGTCCATTTGGTGAAGCTCCCAATGACGTGCCGCAGCAAGGGACAATAGACATCGAACAATGACAAGCTTTGCCACAGGAGTATATGTGTCAGTGTAATCCATGCCTTCGGTTTGCGTGTAGCCTTTTGCTACTAGGCATGCTTTGAACCGCTCAATACTACCATTTGCCTTGTGCTTGGCTTTATAAACCCACCTGCAGCCTATGGGCTTCTTTCCAGGTGACAAATCAGTGAGAGTCCATGTATTAGTTCTTTCTAAAGAAGCTAGCTCATCAACCATTGCTTGGCGCCAACAAGGGAACTGATGTGCTTGGGCAAATGACTTTGGTTCAGTGGGTGTTTGCATAAGGTTTATTTGGAAAGTTGAGGGTAAAAATGTAAGATAATAGGAAATGGGGTATCGTGTGTTGGTAGATGATAATGTAGGACGTACAAAATCATTAAGATGGGATGGAGGACGACGAGAGCGAGTGGGTCGGCCCAAGGCAGGCGTTGACAAATCTGAGATTGTTACAGGATCAATCTCACGAGGTGGGCCAATATCAATAGTTGGACCATGGGTTGGTTATGTGCTCATGTCAGCATCATCACATGTTGGTAACGGGATCACAATATCTAAAGAGTAACCATTTTCAAATGAATGTAGAGCAAATGGAAATTGGTCTTCAAAAAAAAATGACATCCTATGATACAAATATCTGCCTAGTTTGTAAATCATAAAGGCGATACCTTTTTCGTCCTTGAGGGTACTCAATAAACACACATTTACGAGAGCGTGGCACGAATTTGTCTCGGCCCACCTTGGAGGTATTAACATAAGAGAGGCAACCAAATACCTTCAAATGATTGTAAGGAGGTTTGTGAAATAACAATTCATACGGAGTCTTTCCATCAATCACCGGGGTAGGTAGATAGTTAATCAAGTATGTTGCAGTTAGGATGCATTCTCCCCAAAATTGTATGGGTAAGTGGGCCTGAAATCGGAGAACCCGCGCCACCTCAAGAAGATGCCTATGTTTACGTTCGACAACTTCGTTTTGTTGTGGAGTGTCAATGCAAGACCGCTGATGCAAAATACCATGTTCAACTAAATATTCTTTCATGGGACCAGAGAGAAACCCAGACCCATTATCTAAGCGAACAGGTTTTACTTTGGCTTAAAATTGTGTATTGACCATTGCACAAAACATGGTAAAATAGAAGTACAAATTTGACTTGTTATTGAGCAAATAAACCCATGTGGCCCGTGAGTAGTCATCCACTATAGTGAGAAAATAATGTGCTCCACTATGAGAAGGTGTACAATACCCTCCCAACAAATCATAATGAATCAATTCAAAAGGAGTTGCAGCCCTTGTGTGACTAATGGGAAATGGCAATTTGGTTTGTTTTGCTTTCAAACAAGTATCACAACAATTATTCTCGGGCATCATGATGTGCAAACTAGGGATACGAGATAAGCGGTCATAAGAGGCATGCCCCAATTGTGAGTGCCAATGGATGGAGGGAATTGTATGTTGAGTATGAAAAGTAGTAGAAGGGTTCAAAGCCTTGAAATGGCATAGTCCGTCATGCATCGTCCCTACCCCAATCAATGTCTTGGAGGCAAGGTACTGCAAGACACAAAAGGTGGGGAAAAATAAGACCACACAATTTAGTTGTGCAGTAAGTTTGCTTATGGACAACAAATTGCAGTGAAAACCATGAACAAATAGGACATCACGAAGCACAAGATTAGGGGTCATCTTAACATCTCCTTGTGATTGAACTGATAGTAAAGTGCCATTCAGTAATTGCACGGGTTTATGGGTTGAAGTGGTATTAGAACCACTAGAGATGTGCTCAGCAGGTACCATGTGGTTTGTAGTGCCACTATCCAATATCCATTCAAACGGATTAAAAGACCAAGATGATGAATTTGTCTTACTAGCAAAGTTGGCTGAAACCGGCACTATTGGTGGTCCAAAAAGAAGACTAAGTAACCGTTGATATTGGTCAGTARTTAGCCATGTAACAGGAGAGGATTTCACAGTGTTGTTGAATGTAGAAGCAACATTAGATTGATTCCTTTCATTGCTGACCTTTGACATAGTACGTGGTTTCTTTTCCCAATCGTCTGGATAGMCTACCAGCTCATAACAATGATCTTTGGTATGCCTGGTTTTCTTACAATGGTCACATTTGAATTTTGGGTGATCTTTTTCACTCTTGGAATTGAGTTTGGATGTGCCAATAACATGAAGAGCAGCTGCCTCCACAACTGATGCCATTTGGACAGATAAGAGCTGATGTTTCTCTTCTTGTGAAATCATGGAATATACTTTCCCAATACTTGGTAGATGATCCATTCCAAGGTTGTTGGATCTCACTATATTAAACCAATCACTTAGCCCAAGGAGAAATTGATACACCTGTTCCTTGTCTCTTTCAACAAGGAATTCTCTGGCTGCACCACTGCATGAACATGAAGGTACATTTGTATAGATGGAGAGCTCATCCCAGAGTCCTTTCATCTTTGTAAAATAAGAAAAAGATGGGGGGTTTTCTTGCCTTAGTAAGGTTAATTCACGCTTCAAGTGAAAAACCTGTGGAGCATTTCCTTGTGAGTACCTTGCCTTCAAGATCTGTCCAGATCTCACAAGCACTTTCAACATAGGCAATGCTTTGATGTAGACCTCTAGACAGGGCATTAAAGATCCAGGAAACCACCATTAAGTTGCACTTTCTCCAAGCAAGTAATTCTGAACTTCTGGATTCATCAGGCTTCACAATCGTGCCATCGACAAATCCAACCTTATTTTTCACCCAGAGAGCATTTAACATGGCTCTTTTCTAGGTTGAATAGTTATCACCATTCAATGGATAGGATACGGGCACAGTTCCGGGATTATCAGACGGATGTAGATAAAAAGGTGATGCCGAATCTGTGAGCATTTCATTGATGTTGTCATTGCTGGTGTTAGCCAAATTGGCCACCATGATCACCGATCAAGAGAAGAAGCAAATTCGTGATTGAGGAAAGAAATAAAGAAACAACCACTGATCAAATCGTATTGCAGGAAAAAAAAACACAGAGATGATCATCGATCAAGAGAGGGAGTAACTGCGTGATTGAGAAAAGAAACAAGAACCGATGACTGATCAAGAAAAGAAACAAGAAATGATGACGTATTGCAGAGAAAGGAACCAAGAATGCATAGACACAGTGTGAACCATGCTTTGATACCATATAAAGTTGCGAGAAGCAACTGAGAAAAATAGAGAAAAAACTTGTTTGTTTATTATAAAGTTCAGTATATATAGATACATAATTACACGTGTTCTAACTAATGCTAACTAATGCAAGCTGTCAGTCTAGTTGGACAACTGGACTAATAGTTGCAACAGATTTACATGTGCTGCTATACTTCATGATTGTAGTCAATGATCTTTCAATTGTATGGGGTTCTACTCCCCAGTCTAAATTTCAAATGGAATTTAGGCACTGGCGACAAACCTATTGAATTGCAGTCATAGGATTGAATTTTTCAAACAACAACCTATGAACCAAACGTGCATCTATGAAGCGCTTCGAATAAGCTAACCTAAATCCAACAATGCCTGAAAAAATGATTCAGTAAAAAATGAAACGATCGCTTGACCTGATTACACCATCAAACGAGTTTTTGAATGGAGAGAAACCGCTGGTATAGCTATGATCGAGGCAACAACTTGAGGTCATTTGGTAGAGAAGCCTAGTTTAAGTTAATCCAAGCCTTTATCTTGCTCATCATCAGGTTCCTTGCTTTGGTAGGGTAGAAACCAGGTTCGAGMTTTGATATCCCATTCCTGTGCTTGAGGATTAGAAGAACTTGGATTTTGGTCTTGGATCGCCTACAGTTCAATAGGTTTTTCTTCTTCTCGAGTTTTGCTTGGAGGGATAACCTCCGACATTAATTAAAAAATCAGAAAACGGTAGTGGTTTTACAAATCAATTCAGTCTCAGTCTCAGTCTCAGTCTCAAGGTAGAAGACAATGAACAATGTCTTGGGTAATTTTGATATTTTCAAAAATTTTAAATTGTGTATGTCATCACGTGATCAGATAACTGAGGATCGGTTAATGGTAGGGACCATCTTAACACTTTTTGAAAATTAGGATACTGCAGTGATACGTTTAAAAGTTCCAATACAAACTTATTGTCACTACCCCAAAGTTATGTGGTACTAAAGTGGAATTTTTCCTAAAATAAAACCATGAATAATGGCCAAATGTCCACATATGTAGGAAACAGAAAAATTATAATTAGTCTCTACCTTTTGCATATCAAAAGACAGCCAAACCTTTTATAAAAGAAAAGTTTTACGAAACAGAAAATTTACCTGGCAAGGCATATACCTCAAATCATTGTCATTAGAGCTACTACAAGATTACATAAATTCCAAATTAACAGCAACAAATGATTCTAAGTCACAAAATATCACTAACAAATGATTCTAAAACACATAATCGAATCCCTCAAAGATAAGGAAATAGAAATACCAAAGAAAACCTTACTGCAGGTTTGCTTTCGAGGTATTTTTGTCAATTAATTAATTTGTTGAGCTATTGAACATGATTTTACCAAGCATGAATTATGTGGTAACTACTTTTGAGGAGCAGAGCTAAATGAAAGCAGTTTCTTCGTAGTAGTCCATTAGCTCAACCAAAGCAAATCACCGAAAGCTCTTTGAAGCCAATAAAAGGGAAGGGGCCTTCAAGCTTATTTACCCCAAAAACGAGGATAAAGTGTTTAAGGCCTTGTTTATTAAATATTAAGTCATTTATATGGATAAATGCACTTACTATCAATACTTGACCGGATCAATGTATTATTTTTTTGCTAGATAATAGGGTTTCTTTCATTTCCATGAGATCCACCACCATCAAGTTAGCAACTCAATTTACTGAAAAATAAAATTGATAAAATGGGAAAAATAGTGTACCACGAATTTATACAACTCTTTAATACTTTGTCCTCAGACAATATCGGACACGTGGTAAGTTTTGGTCCTTAGTGTGTCTTTTTATGAATCCAAAGCCCAACTTCTAAACATATATGTACAGCAAAGTATAATATTCAAGCTTTGCAAGAATTAATTAATTAGAAAGACAAATTTTTTAAACTACCCTTATAGTTTAACTAATAGACTAAGTTATCCTTATTCATATTATTTCTGATAATTGTGTAAAGGACTTAAAACCTTCCTTATCAATAATTTCTATCACACTCAATTCACATGTGATATCACAAGTTTTTTGTTTTTTAATTTCTAAAAGACTCTTCCTGTAAAGACTTCCAGCGTGGTTGCCGTGGGGGATAGAAAGCTTATGCAAGCATCAATGGTGATGCCGGATGTGATGGTGGCGGCGGATGGGAGCAGGAATCATAGGACAATGTCGGAAGTGGCACTAGAGAAGAGGTATACATTACGGATAAAAGCGAAAGTTTACAGAGAGAACGTGAATGTACCAAAGAAGATGGGTGACTCAGCGTCGTTGATGGGAGCACCACCTTCCACTCTGCCGGTGATTGTTGGTTAGTGAATCTTATCATTCATGTTTTTTTAGTTTTTCTGTCTGAGTAGATATGTCCATAATCCATACACAGAGGGTTCTATTTAATTTAGTTAGCTAGTAAACCTAGCGATAGTACCATATTGTGAATAAACAATAGAGACGACTAATGTAGTTAAACAATAATGGAATAGTACTGGTGTTTTCATGGAGGTGAGGAAGCAGGGAAATTGCCAGTGGTAATTGAGGTGCATTGACCCTTATTCGCACAAGCATCACTCTGCAGACTTACAAAAGTATATCATTCCATATTGTTAATTTTGTCGACCAAGTTGAGATAAAAGTCGAATTATTTTCTTTCTATAAACAATAAATTTTATTGCTACCCTTCTCTTTCCATGGAATCTGTGATCTGTGTAAATGGTGTGGTGATTGACGGGAGAGTACAGGAGGAGGGAGACCGGATCTGCTCCTCAACAGGGCACCTCACACGCACATCCTCCTACCGTGCATTAAGAACATTTCTCTCATACTTACAAGTTATTATTGGGGGGATATGTTCCCAATGCACAGTGGATGTGCATGTGAGGAGCAGATCCCGATCCATTCCAGGAGGAGGTAGAGGTGAAACTGGAACCACTTATTGATGACATTGCACTCAGATAATCAGGGAAAGAGGTATTAACACAGGCGTTACACGGGAAAGGGAAGAGGGGAGGGTAAAATWTTCATATAAGAATAAAGTTACTCAATTAACTAAACCATAAAACATAGTTTAAGAAGTTTGCCCCAACTAAAAAAATTAGAAGCCTTCGCTTACTCGTCGTCATCTACGGATCTACCAAAACATCGACTCCTGAGGAAGCATTTGCAGCAGCAAAACTCTCTTCCTTATTCTTCCATTTTATTATTTTAGATAAATTTCTTAAACTATTCTTATTATTATCCTTACTGTTTGAAAATTGTTTAACACTATCCTATACTATTTTTGACTATTGACTAATACTTCCCTTATGAACATTCCGTCAAATGTAACTATTATAACTTTCAAAAACACCAAAGTTAAATGCCCTTTTCTTTTGAGAGAAACCTTCTCCTCACGCAACTTCCACTGTCGTTGAACACCTTCATTTCTTGTCGTTGAACACCATGATATCGAGCTCCTCTACTTCCATCGTCCGATGATGTGTTTCGCAAGACATGGAGCTTGGATGCACCTTATGTGAATCACACTAAGCCGAAGGTGTGAATAGATAAATAAGAGGCTCTTGATTTCTTCAATAATAGGAAGAAACACACTGATTATTCAAATCTTATAATACTTTTAGTTAATTATCCCAAACACTAGAATTTTGTTGTCCAYCAAACGTTTGGAGCCATGATTACTTTGTTCACCGATTTTCTCCTTTTGTTTATGTGCTTTCAGTTAAACGCGTGGAGCCAGAAATCTGTTACTTCAAATTTTGCCGCCCGAGTTTGATCAATCTCATCTTGCTTCAAAGCTCAAGACCTCCACCTTGCTTCGAAGTTCGAACCATCCACTGGCTACGATGCTAGATATACGAGTGAAAGCACGGTTGGGGTTTCAGTTTATACGAAGCAAGCGGATTTAGTTGATTGATACTCGGTAGATCTGGGCACAGTTGGGGTTCTTTGTAGATCTAAGAGATACTCAGCAGATCTGGGCACCGGTTCGAAAGTTCTGAGATCTCCAGCCTACCGCCAATCTTGCCATGAAGGTGCCGATGCCGGAGGGGGTTGATGTAGACGATTCTTCCTGTTAATCAAAAAGCTCTCTGGAGGGTTTACATACCCTTGCTCTGACTGGCGCCTCCACCCTTGTTCCGACCCTTTCTCTCTAAATCGAAAGGTAAGAAATGATAAAAATCAGAGCTTCAAGCTAGTTCTGTTCTTCTCTTGTTCGAGAAGAACATAGCTTTTAAAAGTTAAAAAACCCTTACTTCAATTCTCGAAGAAATAAAGCTTCGCTTTTCCTCTACAAGACCTGAAAACGTTGTATCAGTGAAGGAAAAACAAAGAGACCACTAAAACTAGTAATGGCGAGGGAAAGGAAAGACTATCGTCCGGTTTTGTGTCCTTAGTGCTCTCACGAAAGCTCCGCCGTTCGTAAGTTGCAGCGACCGCCGTCACAGGCGATGAGGATGATGTTCCAGGCGTTCTGTTCAACTGATGAACCTGCACATATGCATTAGAACGAGGGATAAAATTTAACTATCAATCATAAGTTTGACTTAAAGGGTAAAATAGACGTTTCAACCATTCCATCTATGTTTAACGATATCAGTGAGACATAATCAATTGTCAGAAACAGTGAGGGTAATAAGGTATTCTTAAACTGCCCTTATAGTCTAATTAATTGATTAAGTATATTTTTACTGTTTAAATATTATCTAACATTGCTCCTTCGATTAATTCTACCTTTATCGTTAATATTTCGTCAAAACTCCTGCATAATTTTTTAAAAACCCAATTTTATCCTTATTGTCGAGGAGCATTTCAAACGCTCCGTCCATTATGTCAACTCATCCCTCACCCTGTTAAACACCAGCCATACAACCATACTCTCCTTCTTAGTACTAATCGCAACAATTACTCGTATGCTGATGAGTATGGAACAAATAGGTTTTTCTCTAGGGAGACGGTAAGTTGAACACGAGCTTTGGAAGAGTTATTCGACGGATTTCACCTCTCTTGGTGTTTCAGGTGCGAGCTTTTAATGGCACTTATGAGACTTGGGTGAGAGCCCACCTCCTCCTCCCAAGTGGGTAAGCAGTTTGACGACAAGTGCTACTAATGGATGGAGAAATGCAGCTCATTACAAAGAAGCAAACGATGAGCTTCACTCCATTACACACAAATGTTTTCTCTCTCCCTCCTCCTACGGATCAAAAGCGTATTCAGCGACGGCGTGGGATTTTCGATCAACCCCTCCATCTGGGCACAACTAGGGTAATGGCGACATAATGATCGACTCTGATACCACATTAACCTTCCTCGTCGAGTCAGCTTACCATCAGGTTCTAACGGCATCTCGGAAGGAAATAGTTTGAGCATACCGGACCAGAACAACCGACCCATCTTCGCTTTCCAAACGGCGACCGACCATTGACATCACCGGCAACTGCTTCTAAAACCACGGACAGTCTTTTATTGGTTCAGGTTCGAGTTCCATGTTTAGCATTGAACAAATTCGAAGAGGAAAGACACTTAGATGGGAGCTCGAAATCGAGACCCCCTCGTCAGGCGGCGGCGGTGCTCCCTCCTCAGGCAACTTCTTTGCTTCCACTGGGGGCAGAGCTCCCTCATCAGGCGGCAGTGGCGGCACTCCCTCCTCAGGCAACTTCTTTGCTTTCGTTGGGGGCGAAGCACCCTTGTCAGGCGGTGGAGCACCTCTTTCTGCTCTTCAACATAGGCTTCTGCTACTGCTCCTCAACAGTAGGGCTCCTCAACATAGGGCTTCTGCTTCTGCTCCGGTCCCCTGTTTTTTCAGAATATTGGAAATTCCCAATCCCCTCAATGTGGACTCCACACTGATCCGGTGGTTTTAGAAGCAGTTGCCGGTGATGCCAATGGTCGATCGTCGGTTGGAAAGCGAACGATGTGAACATGGGTTTTTGGCTCTGGAGAGAGTGAGTTGGGAAAGAAAAAAGAAAAGGAAAGAATCATATCTGAGATTTGTTGCCAGTCGCCGGAGTTTAACAACCACCGGTGATGCCCTTCCTCGCCACCGGTAGGAGAGGCAGAGAAGTAACAGAGATTTGGTGGGTCTGGAGAAAAAAGCGGGAGAAGCGGTCTAATATTTCAAAAACTTTCGAATGAAATGAAGGGGCCGGAGGTGGAGGGGGCTATCGCCGCCGTTGGTAAGGACGGAGCTAGTTCAATTTGCTCTGTGAAAGGAAGAAGTTGAGTTGCTGAAAGGCAAGTAAGGGTAATATTGAATTTTAATAAAATTATACATTACATCTGTACGATAAGGGTAGAGTTAGCCAATTGTTAGAAACAGAAAGAATAACGTTAGTGAATAATCAAACATTAAGGATGCACTTAATCAATTAACTAAACCGTAGTCTAAAAAATTTACCCTTATTTATTTATTGATTTGTGTTCGATTTCCTTAAACACGAAGAACGCATTTACTACCAATTTGATCGTTCATGGTATTTGACATCAATAATACTGGGTTCTGTATAAGTAGATTAGATTCCGGTGCAACATTGAAGAAATGTCTCTTGATCCTCGTTGAACTAGAGCTATGGGTAACAGTAGTTTCATACTGACCAAAAAAGGCATTTTCGTAATTGTAATGCAGAAAGGTTTTCAGTAGTTGCATTTGATATTGTGCGTTTTAGACTTTTAGTATCCCCTAATTTCCCACAGAACAATAAAAGAAAAGTGAAACTCTTAATCTAATCACTCCTAACCCTAACTCACCAATAGGCATCCATGCTATTCTGTTTCGCAAATCTCCTCCAATATATATAACTTCGTTAAGGAATTTTGGCTTTTGGTGATTTCCCTCTCACCGGAGCTTCTCGTTTCACAAACTTCTTCACCTGTCCTCAACTTGTCTTTTCTAAATTTGAAATGGCCGTTGCTTTGGTGACTGCAATTCCTTTCTCTTTATCTTGACTATAGTTCTGAAAGAGTTGGATTCAATTGGATTGCGCTATTTCGCCCAACTCTTCCGAGTAGTTGTAATTTCTAATTTGTAAATTTATAGTTTGCTTTTACCCCGAAATATTTCAGTATTCCTTATCTGGGTTCAATTGAAATTCTTAGTATTGCTATTGCTATTTTATTTCCGATTCTATAACTAAGCAGCCAAACCTGTATTTTCTGGTCTTCAAAATCTAAGCAGCAAACAACTGACCTTGCATATGGAACGGAACCCTTTTCTTCAACAAAGGAATTTTATTTGTTTAGTAAGATGACACGAAAAAGAGATGAACCTCCTGTTGTTCGTGTATATACAGTATGTGATGAATCAAGGTGCTTTATATCTTCATTATCTTACACATTCTCAATTTTGACATCTAAATCTCTTTAGAGTTTAGAATGTCATCAAAATCATGGTATCAAGTTCAAATTTTGAATTAGATAGAATATAGAAATACTTATCCTAGAATGCTCCTTTTACAATTCTTTCTTTCATTCTATTCATTTCATATGATATAAAATCAGATTCTTTTCATGTTTTAATTGTTTATTTTATCTTTTCTTTTTTAACCATCGAGATATATATATATTTTTTTTGTAGAGGTTAAGTTAACTACTTTTTTTTCCAATCCCTTTTGTTCGTTTTGGTGTTTGCAGATATCTTATAGTTAGGAATGTACCAGCACTGGGATGTGGCGATGAACTGTTGAAATTATTTGGTTCCTATGGGGAGATAGAGGAGTAAGTCCTCCATATCATTAATTATTAGATTCTATTTTTGAGAAAGAAATGACTAATTTTGAACTTCATGTTGTCTGGACTTGAACACTGTGCCACCACTTGGCACTTGGCATGCCACTAATTGTAACATGTTGATGATAGTCCAATCTTAAGGATCATTAATTAGAGCTGTCAGCCAATGTTGGTCTTTAGTAGGGTTGGCAAGATTTGAATGTAACCTTTGGAACTTTTTGTACAAAGTAGACACTCTCAGACCTAAACCTACATTGCCAAGCTTGTCAGCCTCAGTTTTACCATAGCACCAAGTAATGCCCCTATAGACAAGTTTCATTACAAAATATCGGTACTTAGAACCCTTAGATAAGGCATCATGACAATGAACATGTTTCATTCAGTGTTAGGCATTTTGGTTTTCCAAATTTTCATTTAACTTTATCATCTCAATTATTTTTTGATAGCTATTTATCTTCTCAATTATATTTGATTATTCATGAATCTAATATCCTGTACATCCATGTAGCTGTGCCATCATTCCTAGAGGTTGACATGTCATAGTTGCAGGGACCTACTACTTGGCAGGCATGCTACATGCAACTAAGTACATGTTGTCTGTAATTTTTGGTGTCACATAGGGAAGGAGAGAGGAGGGATTCAATGTTGATGGATTTCCTTTCTAAACAAAAACATGCCTTGAAGTGAGGGTTAGAAATTTTATTAATAGTGAAGATAAAGAAAAGTGTTAGAACTTATCTGTCCATCCCTCCCAACACCCAGAACAGCCAGGACCAATATCGGGCAATATCCCTTTTTTAGAAAATAAGTAAAGAGATGCTCTCACCAAAAATTTTAAATCAGATATCACCCCATTCTGAAAACCTAAAAGTCGTCTACAATGTTTTGTTTTCAATGGAACAGAAATCCTTTAACTTCTAGTTATTCACGTGTCATGCTTGAATAAGTCTTTGAAGTAATTGAGTAGCTCCCAATGTCGGTATATGCTCTCCGTGGCCACCCCCACGGCCCCACCTGATCTTGAAGCAAAGAAATTGTAGAATGTTTACTCATAACTCATTATGCTCTTCTTGTAGGGATCCAGTTCCTCACTTGCTGATCCATTTCATGAAGGTATCTTTTTTGAATAATAGCAGGTGAAAAAGGTATAGGAGGTGGAGGTGGAGGGAGCAGTATACAGTTCTGTTCCTTTTGTAGTTGGAGAATTTGGAAGGAAGGCTTAGTTTGGAACAATGTTTTAAAACGCGGAGGCGTGACACGAGGTGTTTCACTACCTAGAGGCATGAGGCATAGTTCAGAACGCAGGAAGCGTAAGCCTCCTTAAGAGGAGGGTGGTTAGGAGGAGGATGAAGAGGAAGGGGGGATCTCATTTTTTTCTTTATTTTTAATAAAAATCTTTTATATTAAGAAGAACAAAGATGCATAACATTATTTCAAAGGGGGGGTCTTGTCGAAGCAGAGCCCCCAACCGAAAGGGCAAGGGACAAACCACTTTCTTTCCCCTTATCTTTTCTTCCCTTCCCTTTCCTTTCCTTTTTTCTTTTTTTTTCTTTTTTTTTGTCTTTTTATATCAGATGTGCATGAGGCGTACACCTCTAGCACGTCTCATGAAAAAAGCGCAAGAGGTGTCAGCGCCTCTGGCATACGCCTCAGGGCGTTTTGGGAGCGCCTCCCATGCCTTTTAAAACACTGGTTTGGAAGGAGTACAAATATATACAGTGCAAATACATACAAAATAATACAAATTAGATGGTTTTGCACTCTACATATTTGCATTTGTACTCCTTCCAAACTGAGCTGAAAGAATTAATCAACTTCTTGAAGGCAGATATGAAATGACTAGAAGGGCATAAGTTTATGATGAAACCTTAATAGAAATGACAGAGAACACTAAAATACCCATGCTTCCCAAGAGTACAAGAAAATAAAGAAAAATCAGCCAAACCATATTTACAGTTGCTTTCATTCATCTGTATCAATTTCATGGGAAATTCCTTTGAGATTCTCCCTTTTCTTTTCTCTTTGTGTACTATTGTTTGGTATTGTCAGTAGCCAATTACAAGTCATTTGGCTTTGTCAGGTTTAAGCCCATGGATGGAGAAGACTGTGAGCCATTTACTGATGTTTACTGGATCAAGTTTTTATTAGTTAGCAATGCCAGGTGAGTCTAATTAATACCAACATATGCTAGACCTTGTGACATGATTCCTTTGACATAGCTGGTACATAGGCAGACAAGTTCGTTTTATTGCCTTGCTATATTCATATGATGTTTTTGTTTATTGAACTTAATATGCAATAAGGTAATGTGGTGGTGTATTTTAACTACTGACAAGTTCTTTTGCAGGTTTGCAAAGAAAAAACTTGATGGGTTTGTTTTCCTAGGAAATCGACTACAAGTCTCTTATGCTCCTCATTTTGAGAACCTTTCTGACACAAAGGACAAATTAGAGGGAAGAAGAAAGGAAGTTCTAGCACGACTAAATTGTGAGTTCACTAAATGGAATACAATCCATGGAAGAAAGAGATGTTTTTTCCCCTTTGATATGAAGTTCTGATGAGATTTTATTCTTTCAGAATTTATCTCTAATTTATATTATATTTCTAGTTGCAGCAGGAAGGTTGAAAGGGTCTTCATCTCAAACCCCAGGTGCTGTCAAAGGACCTTTAGTCTCTCCATCTCCATTACAGGCCAACTGCATTTCTAAAGGGATTAATTTTACCCAAAGGTAGCTGCTGTTTTTTATCTTAATTTATGCTTTGCAGTTCTGTTTAGGAACACTTCTTAAGTCTTGAAATAAAACGGTGTCTTCTTCTTGTCATACTTTTGTCCCTAGGGGGAATGAAGAAATAGAAGGGACTTCTGAGATGAAAGATCCTTCCATCACAACAGTGCCCTTTAACCAGGTATATTGTAATAATGTGTCTGTCATGTTGTGGTTGGTACTTTACATGGATGTTTGTCAATTCCATTGCAATTAATTAAACTTTGTAATGGCCTCATCATTCGTTTAGATTGTGCATTGCTATGTTGGACAACTTGTGCCATTTTTATTCTTCCTTGTGCTTAGATGAATGGTGGTCATCTACTACTTTGAATGCTTATTAGCATTATTTGGCTCAATGTAGATTCAATGATCAATGTTGTTAGGTCCTTTTATAAATTGGCTAGGTTGAACAGTATTAACAACCAAAATCTTCTTCCAGGTTTGTATTTTTATGCTACCTAGCAGATATTGAGTTTTTTGTGACATTAGTCTTAGTCGTTTTGTTTTATTAGTTGGCCAAGGCATTATTCTTTAATCTAATCAATGGCCCACTTCCTAACCAAGTCCCAAATGTCACACTGATTAGGGTTCTTTGGCCCTCAACATTTATTTACTCTTATTATTTTCAGTAGTCAATGATAATATTGTAACTTTTTCCTTTGACATATGGTTTAACAGACTCTATTGCATAGCTAGATTGTTGAACTTCCTGAACTAAAAAGGTTTTTTCTTCTTGGCATGTATAATCTCAGGATTATTTCCCATCTCCTTCAATGAATGAGACAGTTCGGCTGGTCAGGGAGAAGCTTGATAAGGTGAAAAAAGCTACCTCATGAGTCACGATCTCCTATTTACAACTTTTGGGAAACTTCTTTTCTGAAAAAGTATAGTTCATTTTTTTTCAGATAAAATCAAGTGGTGAACGTATAGAAGCTGAGCCTGCATTGAAGAAAAAACGAGCGGACAATAGAAGAAGGATTTGATACTTATCAAAAAAAAAAAAAAAGAAGGATTTGATGGGCCATTGGTGTCTATAGTTGTAGTTGGGAATTTCCGGGGGAGGCTCTAACCCCTCCACTTGGTGTATTTTTCTCACACTGGTGCTCGTTTTTTGCAAAACCACTTCAATTATGATTTTCAGCGACCTACATATCATTTTACGTGGAAAATATCCATTGTGCAGTTCTTATTTCTTCTGAATAAATTGATATGATGTGTTATTCATTGATTGTAATATTTACATCAAAGTAAATAAATGAATATCTCCCTCCTGTTGGTTTTTCTTTTCTTGTTTCTGTAGTTGTAATAGGTGATTTGCGGGATGACTGGCAGAAAGAGAGACCCAACTTTACTTTGTAGCAAGGGCTTCTGTGGATCTCCGAAAGGGCAGAGCAACCCATCACAATGTAGAGTAAATGTTAAAATTTGGGAAGATAATAATTTCTTCGTTATTTTGACGAGTTGCTTTAGTGTTGTACCAGAAAAGATCTGATACTTTATGAATTATGATGCGTATTTGGTTTCTCCCCTTGTTCATCAAATTTATCAATGGAGCAAAACTCCGCTTCAAAGTTCAAACCCCTTTCCACATGTATAAAGCAAGATATCCTTAGTATATGGAACAAATTTCAGCTTAAAGGCATAGGCAGGAAGACTGAAAAGAAGTCTAAAACAACGTACATTTTGTTTGCAATATTTTATTGAAAAAAAAACAAAAATTGAGGCCCTGTTTGGTTTGTGGGAATAGGGGTTTGGAATCGGAATTGGAATGGGCTATTCTGATTCCAACTGTTTGGTTGGGTGGAATTGGTCATTCCCTGCCCCGCCCTTGGGAATAAAATCCCATTCCTGTTCACTCCCATTTTCATTCCCATTCTTGTTTGAACCAAACAGACTATGGGAATGGACCATTCTAATTCCAATTCTGACTGTAAATCAAACGGACCCTGAAACTTTGATGAACGAGGCGGATATCAGTTAGGGAAAACACCATGGTAGAGTAGTTTTGGCCTGGGATTGGGGATCTAAACAAATGACCAATCCAAAGATGTCCAATTTGAAGAATAGTTTTGGCCTGGACATGCCAAATCATCCTTCAATGTAACAAAAGTATATTGCAGGTCCAGTGTAGGATAAGAAATCCTTTTCTTCCCGGTGACTATATTGTATATATGGTTGTACTATTGGTTTGCTTTAATGTTCAAGTCATTGTCGTTTCCTTCTCTCTCGTACATGATATAAAATATAGAAATCATTAATAAGCGATAAGTCAATAAAGAGTGGTTTAGGTAGTAGGAGGTCGGGTGATTAAGGGTGGACAACCTTGTTTACAGCACATGTTTGTTTTTGGGTAAGTTATTTATCCGAGTAAGTGTTTCTTGGGAAACCTTTATCCGGGTAAGTACATTTACCCATGTTCTTTTATTTCTCAGATAAATAAAATAATGACCATTTTAACCATAAAAATTTCATTATCAAAAGGATCATTTTTGTCCCATCCAAAGTTTTGGCAACTTTCCTCAAGATTGGAAAGTTAATTTACCCACCTAAGAGATAAGTATCACTTATCCAGGAAAATAAACTTTCCCTAATCCCCACATAAATCTGAAGAAAGAACATAGGTTCCTTGGTCAATGGGCCAACTTTTCCCCCTCTCAAAATCCAAAAACTAAGACCCTCTCAAAATCCAACTTTTCCCCCTCTCAAAATGCAACAATTGGGACAACGGAATAATCACCAAAACTCCATTCGAGTTTGATATTTGCTCCACATGTATTTCACATTACCCAGGGATTCAAAATGTAAATTTAAGCAAAAGGCTATGAATAATAACTTTTCCATTTCATATATTTGGTTTGAACTTTCCAGGAGTCAGGACATGTATACCTGAACACTAGCAGTTTTTATTGACTGGCAGATAGGGCAGACATCAATAAACTCCTCACAGTACACACACAAGCACAAATGCCTACAAGGCAACAACAGCATGGAAACTTCCTTATTTTTGCATGCTTTGCAAGTCATCTGTTCCCTTAACCCTTGATGGCTAGTCCCAGATCCACCTGGAAAACTCAGTAGATTGTTCTGGTCAATGTAAGAGGATGCTGCATCATCTACTTCACAGTCACCACAGCCTTCCTTTCCTTGGTCAGCACCTTGTGCAATGGCCTGTTTGAGATTACTCTTGAGGACATTGACCACTGACTCATTGTACTTTGCTTGGTAGTGCCAGGATTGGGCTTCCATGGCCACCTGTTTTATTCTCTCAACCAGTTGCTTGTTCTTCCTGTTCATGTTCTCTATCTCAAGCTCCTTCTCTCGTAGCTTCCCGCCAACTCCTTTTTCTATGACATTCAGGAAAGAAGCCATGTGCCTTTGCTTCATCTCCCTCATTCCCTTTGCAATGTGTTCTTCCTATTTGATGAGAAACCAAGAACAAAGTACAGTAAGTTTGAATGGTAAAGGTCCGGAAAGCAACTATCAAACTACCATCAAGTATTTACCACTTCATCCTTGCCTAAACTACAAAGTGAGTACTGAGTACTTGTATATGATGAACATTGACCATAGATGAAAACCCATAACTTGCAGCACAATGATACAGACACTAACCAAGGCAGCACTAATAGGTCAAACAATCTGATTAGATCAACACAACATCCACTAGTTGATGGGCTTCTTTCTGGCCTTCTGCCAAAATGTTCATTGATCAACAAATTGGATGCAAAGTGGTCAGGTGGATATAATGTATAGCTGTACCTGAACTCTTATATAATGATCAAACTCTTCCTTCTGGCGATCGAGCTCAGTCCTGAGGCTGTCACCAAGGGACAGAATCACAGGAAGAGCTCCTGTCATACTTACACTTGCAGAAGTAACAGAGGAGTTGGGTTCATCATCCTCGTATGACAACTTCAACCCAGTTGAGACAGGATTCAGGTTAGGAATGCTTGGATGCCGGATAGTTTCATCTTGGCAAAAGTTAGTATTCAAGGAGATTTGAAGCCTTTGCTGCTTCAGAATATCTTCTGTTTTACTGCCTCTTTTTGTTGGCTGGTTCATGGTGGAGACTTGCTCATTTCCAACAAAGGTCACTGGATCAACACTGCAACCAGCTTGTACTGTGCATGAATGGCAGGTAATTGCTAAAAAATTAGTCCAACAATAGAGCAATCAAGCAAGACAGAAGAAATTTCCATGATGTTAGAAAAGCGGATTAAATCAAGTAGTGGAAAAGACAATAAACGTATAATAACTGCATGTAATACACCATATCATAAACTGATATTGTTGAATCAGAATCTGTAAATCAAAACCAAGTGGCATACTAATTTGACTACGATATTAGCTATGTGCTTTTCCTGCACTGGGGAATGGCAACCTGTACCCAACTTGGGTTCTACCAAACCTTGAGGAGGGTTAGATGAGGTCGTCAAATGGTTCTCAAAAACTTAAATAAAGCTTTGTTATATACACCATTCTTATGTATTGTATTTTTCAGATTGTTTCTACAAGTACATCAAAATGTGGTTTTTTAATTGTTAAATTTCTAATTTATCAATTAGTGAAAAGAATGTAAATTATGTACATGGGGGATGTACCAGGCACCCCATTTGACCCTAAATTTCCTTGATCCATACTTCTCCAATCTTTTTTTTTTTTTTTTATTGATAAGTTGCTCGAAAAGTTTACCAAAAAATAAATAAATGAATCTTTATTTCATGCAAGTTTGAGGTAGCCAAGATATCGGTGTTGCTATCCTTACTGATGTGGAAAGTGCTGCACATCAAAACATGAGTGATCCATAACTATGTAACCAGTAACCCTATTCCTAATGGATTGACCAAAAATAGCATGTTTAAATTAAGAAAACCCTCGGAGGCCACAATTGTGAAATTAATGTCATGCAAATACTTATATGTTCAATTAAAACAAATGGGTGTGGTCTAGTGGTCAACGTAAGGTCACTAAAACCTAATGATCAAGGTTCAAATCTTGCTATTGCTAAAATTTGTAGTTTTAAGTAAAGAGGTGGACTAGTGGTAATTAAGCAATATATGAAAATGAGAGGTCATGTGCTCAAGTCTTGTCAAACCAGTGTTTTAAAAGGGCGTGGGAGGCGTACGCTTGGAGGCGCGCCTCCAGGCGAGGCGCTCCCAAAACGCCCTGAGGCGTATGCCAGAGGCGCTGACACCTCTGAGGCGTTTCTCATGAGGCGTGCTAGAGGCATACGCCTCTTGCACCTCATGCACATCTGATATGAAAATACAGAAAAAAAAAGAGAAAAAAAAAGGAAAGGAAAGGAAAAGAAAAGAAAGGGAAAGAAAAGGAAAGGAAAGAGAAGAAAAAAAGGGAAAGAAAAGAAAAGCAAGGGACCCCCCCCCTTTGAACTACTGTTATGCATCTTTATTCTTCTTAATATAAAAGATTTTTATTAAAAATAAAGAAAAAATGAGATCCCCCTTCCTTTTCACCCTCCTCTTGAGGAGGCTTTGTGTTCGGGAGGCTTACGCCTCTTGCGTTCTGAATTACGCCTCACGCCTCTAGGTAGTGGAACGCCTTGCATCACGCCTCCGCGTTTTAAAACACTGTGTCAAACACGTTGGTACACTGTTTGATTCATCAATGAATTGAAATGATGCAGTTATTAATCAAAAAAATATTTATATGTTCAATTACATATATAAATAACGAATATGGTCCAAGTAATAAACACCAAAGTTTGCTTGAGGTCCTAATTACCATATGACCTCCAGACCTCATTAGCACATACCAAATATTTATGGTGAGAAAATAATCAAGATTAACAAGCTGGGCATTTTTTCAGTGTTTTTTCTCAAGTTCTAGTCCAACACAAGTAATATCTTAAACTGAGTAACTCCTTGTATATAGGCAGCAGAACCCCTAGGTTGAAAACTTAGGAAGCAAACATTAATTAAAAACTAAAAGATAACAAATTATCAGATAAAATTATATATCTTCTGATTTTTGTTTGAGTTATAAAACATTAAATAATTAGAGAAAAAGAAAGTAAAAGGTAAAATCAAATGTCAAGGAATTGAGAAACAATTAAATGCAACACCTACAACCATCTCACCATTGAGAGAAAATTATAGCTGCAACAAGAAAGATAATCAAGAAAAAGTGTGTGTGTGTGTGTGTGTGTGTGTGTTGTGTGTGTTCATTGGGGGTGCAGGGGGAGAAAACTAATAAATGACGAAGTCAA